AAAAAAATAACTGCTTAAGGCAAGATAAAAGAATGAGAGAATTAATGTATAAATTATAAATTTGTAATATATTGTTCAAATTTTTTAGATCATACAATAATTTAGAAGATTATATTTTCTATTAGGTCGCAACTTGGGAAATATGAAACAAAAAACGGTGAAAAAAAGACAACAATGGAAGATTTAGAAGATTGAACCATTTTTATTACAATATTGTATAAATACTTTTAATATTGTATAGAATTTAAAAAGTAAAAATGTCACCAAATATTTTTGTCTTTTATAAAATAATTTTATCTTATTATATATATATATATATATATATATATATCTTATTTTATTATTATATATATTATGTATTGAATTTGTTCTTAACATAAAATTTGTTTAAATTTTATATGTGACTCATAAATTTTATATTATATCAACACCTGTAATTTTAATTGATATAAAAATTAATTTTTATATTAAATAAAATCATTATTCTCTTTTAGTTTCTATCCAAATCTTAATTGAAAATTTTTGAACTACTCTTTTTTCCTCTACTTCTATTATTTTAATTTTTTTAAATAATTTAATAGGAATTAACTTATCATAATTATGTTTAACCTATTAATATAGATAATATTTTATTTATATTTTATATTGTAATAATTACGATGACAAATTTAATTTTTTAAATTAAAAAATAAACAATATTTTTACTTAATAATTTTGTTGCAATTTTTTTTATAAAATGTTATAATAACGATGATAAATTTAAAAATCTCAAATTAAAATTAATTAATTATAATAATTGAAATAAATTAAATATTATTAAATATCATAACAATGAAAATGAGTATGATTTGATATTTAAATCTTTTGGTAACCGTTGGTTTTGTATATTTAATAATTTATATTGTAATGAACGAATATGTAAAGAAAATATAACGTTTTAACTCTGAATTAATTTTAAATTTTAGATTTAATTTATATATATATATATATATATATATATATATATATATATCATTTGTTTCAAAAGTTAACAAGCATTTCTCTTTATGTACTTCTAAAATTTTATGACTATGAAGTTTAAATTTTCACAACTACCGAAAGACTTATAATCTAAAAATAATTGAGATTAATGTTTAAAATATTATAAAAATATTCTTTATATTAACATATCAAATTATATTTATTTATTAGAATTATATATTCTCACTATATGATTATTCAAATTTTTTAAATTAGAATACAAGTTCTAATGTTTTTGAAAATTTTATTGAGATTATTCAATTATAAACTCAGAGAACCATGTTTTCTACTGAAAAAATTTATTCATTTTGTGAACTTAAAGTTATTTCTCAGGATGTAAATCAAAATACAGGTGTTATACATAAAAATATTAATTCAATACAAATATTTTTTATTAATATATGTTTATTATGTTATATTTTTAAAGTTATAAATTTTTTAATTTTAAAAAATATTTAAATTAGGTTCACTAAATATTAACTTTTTATTTTTGTAAGACCATGTGATATATCAAATATTAGATTATAGATATAGCTACAAGGACATCACACAAAAATTATATCTGAAAGCAATTATCAAATCTCAAATACATCGGATCTGCGTCAAAATTGTTAGAATACATCTATTTTTTTAATGACGGTATAATATTTTAATGTGTATATATTAAATTTATATTTATATTTTTAAAATAATCATAGACCTAATTAATATTTTAATGACGGTATAATATATATTTAAATTAAAATTTTATTTAGTTATTTATTAGTCTTTTGTAAGATGCAACATATTATTAAATCTATTATTATCTTAATAAATATTATCTTAATTTTATTAATTTCATTATTATTACATTAACAAATAATTATTTTATATTTTAAAATTAATTTACTTTTTATTTTAATTAGAGAATAATTATAAAAATTTATTCATGCATGTATTGGTATTAATATTATAAACTGTGATAATATTTATTTATTTATTTATTAATATAATTCAATTATACATGTATAGAGTTTATCATAACTACTCTTATAATTAATATTTTATTATATAAATTATAAATTAAAATTATGTTTACTTATTTATTAATAATTTTTTAAAATTGTTGGTGATAAATCAAATCAAATCATTAAATAAGAACGTATGTATCCTGTAAAATTATTGAATATTTTAAATTTTAATGGATTTACTCTTCATTACTTACAACTCAAACAAGGAATGCCAATTATGCTACTTCAGAACATTAATCCGACATTAGAAATGTGCAATGGAACAAGACTCCTTATTAAGAATAATCATTAAATTATGTTGGATTATATTTGTCAAAACCTATATTTAATCATAGTCAATTATATGTTTTATTATCTAAAATAATGTCAATAAAAGAAATAAAAATATTTATTATTAAAGAAGATAAACAAATATATAAGATATATAAAAAATATTGTATAAAAAAATATTTCATAATCTTTCTTACTATAATTATATTTAATATAATAATTTTTTTACTATTGATATATTTTTATATTTAAATTATATATTGTATATTTTAAAATAAATTAATTTAATAAAAATAAAATAAATCCGTGCAACGCAGAGACATATTTACTAGTTAAATATAAAAGAAGGTTTTGTCTATGAGTTTTGCGTAAACTTGTTTATTTTCGTCCTATAAAATAAAATTATTTACAACAAAAAATAAATTTAAAAATAAATAATATTTGTTTTATAGAAAGACTTTTACACGTAATGGTGTGTGTATAGGGTATTATGGCATGACAGTGTGTGGCCAGTTAGAAATGTGGGCTATGCATACCGTGTTTGGGTACAACTTACTGCAAGGGTGGATTTTGCAAAGCGGCATAAATGTCAAACACAAAAATGTGGAGTGCATGGTATCTGTCTCCCAATAACAAGACCTAAACCTTGAATGTTGAAAAATTAGACCCAAAAAAATCAGCTATATCAGGCGAACCATAGGGGGACAAAGTTCATTACATTGTGTTTGTATTGCAATGAACTTTGTATTTATTTATGTCTTGTTATAATTTACTCATGCAACATAACTCTAATCGTGTCAACAAATTCATACATAAATTAACATTCACAAAGCTGATCATGACAGTGAATTACTCCATTCCAGCCTGGGAAAGCAAAACGCGCTAAAACACAGAAAGAACAGCTTTTCACGTTTGATATTTTTTTCTCATTATTCTCTCTTTCCCTCTCTCTTGTCCAATTTGATAAATTCTTTTGTCAATGATACAGTTTTCAAATGACTTTTTCTTTGTTTACATCAAATGACTCAACTTTGAGATTTTCTTCAGACATTGTGTCCACTGGGCCAATGTCCCTCGTCCGTGAGCCCAATAAACACACATCAAACAGTTTACGTAAACTCACACTTTGATAGAAAAGTATATATAGTTAACAATTTAACTTGCTTGTTTGGCTAATTTTTTGGATTTCATTGAAGGAGTTCAAGTCCATTCCTCTATCCTAAGTGATATCACCAAATCTTGGGAGCAGAAAACCCAACTATTATATTCAGCTTCAATTATCATATAAAGGATTCAAAGCTCTAATAAATGATTATTTGTCCTTGGCAGGAATACATAGCATGTGGACAAGTTTTGTTATTGCTTGTTCTTTTCTCCTAGTTAGTCTCCATATTCATCTTCAAACTTTAGGGAATAGTTTGGCTGGGGTTTGGGTATCCTTCCAAAATTTTCTGAAATGTTTGTTTGAAAATATAATTTAGTTATATGTTTATTTAATATTTTTTACAAAATTATAATAGTTTATATAAATTTTTTTAATAATGACATTTATTAAGACAAGTTTAAAATAAGTTATATAAAAAACTTTATTGATATAGTAAAAATAATTTGTGAGAATTATAGCTTATTTTTATAAGTTATCCATAAACTCTTTTGAGTAACACCTAAATAGTTAGTTTAAATGTTTTACCACTCTCATGCAAATATATTATAATAATTGTTTTTTTTTTTTCTATCTTAATCTTGATGCAAATGAATATTATGAATATCAATTTTGTTATTACACACTCAATAAGTATGATAATATACTGATATACTTTGTTACTAATCATTCACTCATCTTTAACCCATACATGAAAAATATGAAATTTCATGCATAGAAGAAAATGTTTTTCTTATACCAATAATACTGTCATCGTCTCACTAAATTAGATTAATTCTTAAGGATAATTTGTAACAATGACAAACTAATTTAGTAGTTCAAAATCTAATATAACAGGTGAGATTGTTTAGACGATATTATTACTATAAAGAGTGTGTTTTTTTTTTCCTTGGTTAAAATAACAAAAAAAAATTTACTTAACATACTTGCCAAATTTTGAGCACTGTTGTTGTTTTCACAAAAATAAACTTAACATCTTTTTCATTTGAATCTCAAATTAAAAGATGACAATCTATGGTGAACATTAAATAACTTGTTTTAAGAATATATGGTTGATATTAAAAAAAAAATTATATGTCATTATTTAATTTTAACCCTCAATAATAGAGGTGTAAACAACTTAATTTAAAATTTCTCCCTTGGAGGAACTATTATATTGACTAGTATATAATTAACCTACATTTATTGAGCCTTGATTTCATAGTAAAAATTTAAAAGCTATTGAAAAATAACTAGTAACTAATAAAATACTCAAAAGAGCACTCCATAATTTTGGTTTCCGAATATATCACAAAACAAAAAAATATTTATGTTAATAAGTGAGAAAAGAGGAAAAGTTTAAAGATGAAGTTTTATAAATTTAATAAATGACAAACTACTATAATAATACACATAAAATAAAAATAAACACATTTTTAGTTCATTGAAATGACAATAATTGCATTTTTCTACTTACTTAACTTTCTGGTCTAACCTCTTCTTTTGTGGCTGACTTCTCAACTCTTACTTAACTCTCCTTCCATTTGGTACTTTTCTACTTCCAAACTTTTTCATTCTTCTTTTTCTTTTTGCTCTCTCTCTCTCTCTCTCCCTCCCTCTCTCTCTCTCTATATATATATATTCTTCTTTTCCTTTTTTTCTAATATTTCCCTTTTCAATTTCTCTAATATATAACTAAGAACATCAATATTATTGTCTTAATTTTTCTTCTACTTTCCAAACCTCTTGTTTGGGAAAAGGAGAAAAAAAGGGAAGAAAATCAGAGGAAGTAGGAACAGGCATTATCTTCTTCTGAGTCCCAATTTCGGCGCCCTAGATTTTCTCTCCTTTTTACTCACTTCACCTCGATCTTTGCTTCTCGAGTTTCCGCTTTCCTTTAGGGTTCATTGATGGACTCCGAGGATGATATGCACGACGCCAACGACATGGAGTCTCTCGATGACGATTTCTACAGTGGCGAGACTGAGGATGCTCCCATGGACTACTACAGCGACTACGATGACGACGCCGATGATTGCTTCGACGATGCCGACGGGATTCAGTCCCGTCGCCCGGAGGTCTCTTTCTCTCTCCCTTCTTCGATTCAATGCGGGAATGTTGCCTCTCTGGAAATGGTTCCACTGAATCACTTCCATTCTGCAATTTTTTTTTATTTCTTTAATGTTTAATTACTGAGTGATACACCGAATTAATTTATATATGGATCAAATTAGTCTCTAGAATTGTCGAATGCCTGCCATTTGAATCCAATTTTGAGGACTAAAATGACCGTGGTTTTGTAATTTTAAGGAAAAAAAGTAACATTGTTGTAATTTAGATTAAATTGATAGGTTTACTAATTTCAGGACTAATTTGTAATAGTCGAGTGATGGTGTGAGCGGTGATCATTTCTTGATATATATTGAAAGAGCAGAGTGGTTTCTATGGTTAGATTGTTTCTTTATTTTTCCCTTCATTTATTTCATAAAGTTTCAGCTTTTTTCTTTTTCACGTTGCTCCATTTTTTATTCTGACAATCGTATGTTAACTTCCCTCTAATTTGCGGATAACTGTTTGGATTTCAGCAAAATTTTACCGTCTTGAAGGAATTCGATATTCGATTAAGACAGGAAGATGACATCAGTAGAGTAGCAACGGTTCTTTCCATATCAAGAGTTCATGCAAGCATACTGCTTCGTCACCATAATTGGTGAATTCAATTTTTCAAAACCTTACTGGGTTCATTTTATCTCATTTTTGTGTCCTTGTGTGACGCTGATCACACCTTCTGTGTCTCAAAATGTGCTTTTCTTATGCTGCATTTGTATGATATGTAAGATTTTAGCTGCATTGTATACTATGTGAAAGATGAATTGGTGTGGTGCAGGAGCATCAGTAAAGTGCATGATGCATGGTTTGCTGACGAAGAACGAGTCCGAAAAACAGTTGGCTTGTTGGAGAAACCGATTGTCCAGTTTCCCAATGCTAGAGAGGTGAGATATGGACGGTTAGATTTTAAATTATGAAGCACATGCGGTGCCTTGGGGTCCTATATTTTGGACATTAGCTCTGTCAGAGCCTTGGTTTCGTAGGTTTTAAAACTAGTCAATTGTAGTTGGATTTTATTTTATCCTCCTGCTTGGGTTCTATTTGTACAATTGTACTTCATTCTCTCTTCATTTCTTCTGTGGCCAGCTTACTTGTGGCATCTGTTTTGAAAACTATCCTCGTTCTCGGATTGAAATGGCTTCTTGTGGTCATCCCTACTGTATCTCATGCTGGGAAGGTATGTCTTGTGTGCTATTTCTCTGTTCTTTTGTGACCTTGGATATAATCTAGCGTTTGGTTCTTTTGTGACCTTAGATATAATCTGGCATCTGGTGATAGAATGCATTTTAGCTTTGGTTGCAAGTTTCCACCGTTCATCGTTAATTGTTTTTTTGGTAGCTATAGTTTAGATGATTTGCTTTGTCAATTTATTTCTTTTAGTCCTGTAGATGTTGTATGGGTTGCTTATATTGTCCTATCCTTCTGTTTTTTTCTTTATCTGTCATATTCATGTTCTTCTATCCTTTTCAATATGCTAGGGTATATCAGCACATCCATTAGCGATGGTCCTGGATGTTTGATGCTGAGATGTCCTGATCCCACTTGTGGTGCTGCTGTTGGTCAAGATATGATTAATCTATTAGCATCTGATGAAGATAAACAAAAGTATGCTCGTTACCTTCTTAGATCTTATATTGAAGACAATAAAAAGGTATGTACTGGATATGGAATTATGATATGATAATGATAGTGAAGGATTTACTTTTTTTAAAATTGCCAACAGACTTTCATGTAACTATATGTTGTCATGTTTCATTTTCATTATGCATTTGCAATTCTTTGTGTGTTGGATCTAGTGTTTTACATATTTGTATCATCCTGGCCAAACAGGGATATAAGGGCCTGTTTGTTTCAGCATTTTCTCGTGAAAAATCAGGTTTAATATTTTTTTTTGTGTTTTTTTAAGCTTTAAAAAAAAATTAAATCTGAAAAAAGTCAAATTTCTGATCATTTTGATAAGTTGTTGAGTATCTTCTCAAAAAAAGCTAATAAAGTGTACTTTTTATAATTTTTACCAAATAAAAAAAAAACTGTTTTTTTTTGTGAAATCTCTACAAAATACAAAATGAATCACTTTTTTATGTACTGTTAAAATAAATTATGTGATTAATGGTTCTATTTGTCATATGTGATACTAACCAACTCTACTTTTCTTAATCTTTACTACTATCTTTGTCTCACTGTCTGACTGTCATAATAATTTTTATATTTTACTTCCTTTGTTTTGTCTAGTCCAAGTGGTGTCCTGCTCCAGGTTGTGAATATGCAGTTACTTTTGATGCTGGCAGTGGAAATTATGATGTCTCTTGCCTCTGTTCATATAGTTTTTGTTGGAATGTAAGTAATGTAGAAATTTTCACATTGTTATTGTATTGCATTTTAGAATCTTGTTTGTTTGCCAACTGATATGTGTTCTACAGTGCACTGAGGAGGCTCATCGTCCAGTGGACTGTGGCACAGTGGCAAAGTGGATTTTGAAGAACAGTGCAGAGTCTGAAAACATGAACTGGTATTGATTTCTGGAAGTGTTTTGCTCATACAGATTTCTGCTGGTAGTTTTATAACAACCTTAAGAGAACCACCACAAAAGTTAGCCAATATAGTTGGAGAGTCTAAGGTCCTGTAAATCTCACATTATAATTTCATGCTTCCAATGTGGGATTCAAGTCTGATACCTTTCAATTGGATCCTAACATAGTTGAAGTAATGTGGTATTCTCTAGAATTACAGATATTGCATGTCTAAATTGAGACTCTTTTAATGGAGAGTGTTTGAGGATGAAAAATTGTCCTGAATTTTACACTTGAATCAGGTTAACTGTTGGCTTGGCTAAGGGGTGTGGTTCCTTTGTTTGAAGGAATGAAAGAAATAAACCACACAAAACAGTGTTGCACTAAATGTTTAGATTTTTTATTTCTTTTTTGCAAATTGAGAAGATCAATTCATAATCCATGCATTTATAGGATTATACATTCTCTTGATCTCCTTCATGATCCTTGAATTGCCTTCATGTATTGCTTTAATCTAACTAGTAAAGGATAAACTAAGGCTTTTTTGACAGTTGAGACTGGAGAACTGGAGCTTACTGTTAATTTAATTTAATGACTTTCAGGATACTTGCTAACTCAAAGCCATGTCCCAAGTGCAAGCGACCAATTGAAAAAAATCAAGGATGCATGCACATGACATGCACTCCGCCCTGTAAATTTGAATTTTGCTGGTATGTATTTTCTTTCCTTTTTCCCCATACATAATTTTTAACGTATGTTGCATTCTTCATCTATTTTTCTCTGAGCAGTTGTGGATAAAGTGGGGCTTTTTGGATAGTTGAGGCTTGAGAGCCTGAGGTTAATGTTAATTTATTGACTTTCATGATACTCGACAACAGAAAGCCATTTTTTTGTCATCATCACTTTTGTTGAATGTTGGGTCATGCAAACAGTGGGTTTATTTTCTTTACTGGGGAGGAAATAAATCTTTTTTGTTTTTGGGGGCTCCTTAACATGTATTACCTTGTTTTCAAATAGTTTGAGAGTTTAAGCTTATATGAATTTAAAATATTTTATCTACATAGGCTTTGCCTTGGTGCATGGTCAGACCATGGTGAAAGAACTGGTGGCTTTTATGCTTGCAATCGTTATGAAGCAGCTAAACAAGAAGGAGTGGTAAGGAACATATAATACTCCACTTCTCCTGGCTCAGGTTTTGGGCTATAATGAGCTCACTGTTCTGTTCACATCTGTTTGGATAATGGCATTTGCTTATGAGCTAAATTTTGTTGTATGTAGTACGATGATGCTGAAAGAAGAAGAGAAATGGCAAAAAATTCATTGGAAAGATACACCCATTATTATGAGCGGTGGGCCAGCAATCAATCTGTATGCACCACTTGATACTTATTGTGTCTTCTACTGCAATTTCTGGGTGCATTCTTCAATAATTTCTATTTTGCTAGTATTCGACTATCTTGAGATCTAAATGACTAATTCTAAGTACATTATTTCTCTACATGATATTTTTGGGTCATAATCTTCATGTTTGGTGAAGATGTAAATATTTTTAAAAAATTGATGAACCTGCACCTAACAACTTAAGCTTTTAGGAAAATTGATGTACTAGAGTCTGATCAAATAATCTAAAGATGGATCCCTAGCACTCTCATTCTCCTAATAGAAAGTTGAATTTTAGTACAAAATAGGTAGTTTGTGCATTATCCTAGATGCTTCAAGCCGCAAGTGTTCTTGCATGATTGGGCATGTTTGAGATGTAATATGAAAAACAATTCCTGTGTTTTCACTTAGCAGCTTAAGCTTTGGGAAGAGTTGGTTCTTGACAGTGTTGTGCCTGAACTAATGAGGAATGTTTTAATGTGCTCATATTTCATTCTTTTTAAAATGCCTACCACATGGAAGGGTAACTGGCTAGTTTTTAGTGATTTATTTGTTAATGGATATTGACTTGTTTGTGATTCTCTTATCTTAAACTGCTCCATATTATTATTATTATTATCTTGTTTGAGTATATGCATTTAAACTGAAGGATATTTCTTATGTGGTAGTTATATTATATATTGACATAACATGCAATGTGCATTTTCTTGTCTACAGTCAAGGCAAAAAGCTCTCGCAGATCTACACCAGATGCAGACTGTTCATGTTAGTTGCATGTACATTTGTCACGTTTGGCCATCTTTTTTTCTTTCTAAAAAGAAATATTCATATTGTAGCACGTATGTAACTTTTAGTAACTGGAAAACATTGTTTGCACTTGTAGTATCTATTTTTCGAGCACATTTTGCAATGTTTTCATGAATATGCAATTTCTAATATAGTAGCTTATTTTTCTGTCATTTCATTTCAATAAAAAAAATATATTCTTTATACTTTTTTATTCTTGCACGATCTTTTGTTTGTGTTAGGGATCATATATTTGCTTGCTAATCCTCTTTTTTTCTATGTAATTTGGGTGCAGATTGAGAAGCTTAGTGACGTACAGTGTCAGCCTGAGTCACAGCTCAAGTTCATAACGGAGGCCTGGTTGCAGGTAAATGATTATTTGATTAATGGTTGTTCAGTTTGCTTTGTAATGAATTATGAAGCTATATTATGTGTGTTTTTTATGACCAGTTCTTCTTCCCTTTGGGGACATTCGTTAATGCTGTTGCTATTCATTGAATTGCTTCCTGACTTTGGTTATTTCGTAGAGAAATGATTCCTTAGTGCGTAATCTTTATGATGGTTTTTGCTAGTATAGCTGTAGGCAAGGTAGTTAAAATCCCGATTTGAATCTTAAAATCTTACGATTTTACGATTTTGGAAGTCTCACCGATTTAAATCGTGGATAAAATCCTAATTGAGTAAAATCCTTGTAAAATCCCGATTTGAATCATAAAATCCCTCAAATTGTGGGATTTTACGATTTCACTTCGATTTTGAAAATTTCTCGCAAAGTCTATTTTGTTGAACCCTATCGTACGCCTCTTTCATATATCTCCTTTTTATGGAATCTAATTTGCCTCTAGCAGCTTTGAACCCTAACATTATTGTCAACATTCAACAGTCCTCCTAGTGCGTGCAACCTGGTCTGCAACTAAATCTATTGTTGTTTTTACATCTTTTCTGTTTTGGTCTATCTTTTATTCATGTAAATGCATTACATTCTTATGGAATAAATTATGATTTGTGAGTGCTACGTTGTTTAAGTACTTTTACTGATTTGAAGCTTTTTTCTCTTAATTTATGATATTTTATATGAATAATATGAATTTATATCATATATATGAATTTTATAAAATCTTACGATTCAATTTACGATTTTACGATTTACGATTTTCACTCTCCTTTACGATTTAAAGTAAAATCCCGATTTTAACTACCTTGGCTGTAGGGAATGTCAATCCCAGCAGCAGCCACAATTGCACAAAGTTCATTTCAGGGTGAAATAGATGGCTTCTTAATCAGTGTTTCATGTTTTCAGATAATTGAGTGTAGGCGAGTGCTGAAATGGACGTATGCATATGGGTACTATTTACCGGAGCATGAGCATGCAAAAAAACAGTTCTTTGAATACTTACAAGGTTTAATTTTTCAGCCTGAATTTAATTGGATTTTTTGTGGTTCCCCCATAGATAATACTCAACTATAATTTGTTTTCAGGTGAAGCAGAATCTGGTCTGGAGAGACTTCATCAATGTGCTGAAAAGGAACTACAGCCATTCCTCCTTGCTGATGGTCCATCTAGAGAATTCAATGACTTCCGTACAAAGTTAGCTGGATTGACTAGGTAGGTATATGTTGCTCATGTATTGTTTAGCATTTCCCTAGAGCACTTGTTTTTATTTATTTATTCATGACCATTTTTTTTTGCGTTTTGATTTGAGTTTTACTTTAGATTGATTTTCTGATACACATGTTTTGGCAGCGTGACTCGAAACTACTTTGAGAATTTAGTGAGGGCATTAGAGAATGGTCTATCTGATGTGGATGGTAATGGAGCTGCCTTCACCCGAGCAACAAGCTCAAAGAATGTTGCTGGGAGCAGTAAGGGGAGAACTGGAAGAGGAAAGGGAACTTTCCGAACCAGCATGTCCAGCAGAATGTCTGATGATAATCATTGGTGTTGCGAGCATTGTACCTATGCAAATGCCAATTCTGCCACCACATGTCAGATGTGCTATCAACAGCGTTGATGAAAACTTGGTTCTCTATTTGAAACACGTATCTCCTGCCCAGGGCCTCTGCACCAAAAGCTGAGATGGAGTTGTTTCCCTATTTGCCTAGATATATGCTGACTGACTCCACTTTGTGAGGCTAATAAATATATGAACAGGATGAAAGGAGTAAGGCATGGAAGAAAGGTTGCCCTCCTTACACTCCTATTCAATACAACCCGATTTCATGTATATAGTGTTCTATCTTATTTACGTATGGAGATTTCTACTGCAGGCTTTTGTAACTGAATATCTTAACAGACGCTGGAGATGAATACAGGTGTGCTTGTTTGTGCCCTGATATCTCTTTCAGTTAGTCTCTTGGAAGCTTGTGTTACCTAGGGTATAGTTATAAGCTTAGGGTTTGTTTACATTTGTAAGAAATCATGACAAGGGACTGCAATAAATATTATACTGTATCAGTTAATCAATCGCTGCTTAATTTTCATTTTTATACATTGAACTTATCTTCCTTTGCTGGTCTTTCACGTGTGTTATCAACTCGCGTCTTGTAAAGTCCAACACACTATCCGTCAGAAAAATGCCCAGGACACTACCAGAGATTGTCTCTTGGCAATTTCACATAAAGTGTATTTTGCCGAACACTGGCTTTCCAAATTATTTTAAAATCCTGATCTAATGCCGATAGTTCCCCATTTAGTAACACTGGATCTACTCTCACGGATCAGTATACACATGCACTGACTCGAGGGGTCACTGGCGTCCTATCTAATGTGTAAATCAATGGCTAGGAAGAACATCTTGGAACCTCTTGAACAGTTAGTCTATGTAACTTAATAGTACACGTTTTCCCCTCAAGTTTTGGAAGTCTTGAAACAGCTGTTATGCCGAAAAATAAATGATACTTTCAGTTGGCTGAATCGAAAAACTTTTCAGATCCGTGGAATGTTTACTTGTACGTGACACAAAGTTCAGGGTAGTTGCGTACTCGTTTCCTTAATAAAAATAAAAGGTAATGGTACTCTTTTTCTTGTCGGAGTCCTAGGATAAAGACAGAAAACTAAAGAGTCGGCACCAGGAAAGAGAAGTTTGAGTATCCTAACATAAAATGTGCAGGGTTGATGTGTAAATGATTTATTGGCTCCACAGAGATACATAACATGCACTTTAACGTTCTATCTAGCTCTACACGAAACACTGCACTCATCACAAAGAAGCCAATTTCTTGTGGTATAAAATACATGTTATGTAATTATGTGATTCTACGTTAAATACAACACACTTTAGCAACAGAGAACCTGAACTCCCACGGAAAAAGCAAACCAAGCCCCCCAATTGTCCTTAAAAAGCAGCTATATGTTGCAGGTATTCAGAAACCCACATATTGGGAATTTCCTCACATTTTTCACAGTTATTAATAATTGGTTAAGTCTTCCCATTTCTAGTAAATGGCGGAAAAAGACTAGACAATCACTACTAACCAAAATGTCACTATTCTGTATTTCATTTCTTGGAATATACCATTTTTTTAGACAAATTTCACTTTCAATCAGATGATTTTCACAACAATTAATGAAATAAAAATAAAAAATAAAAAAATGAAGTTATCAGAGATCATAACATGACAGGAGCTCCACTTTCTCCAGATGAGGCCTACAGTACTGTACACAGCTCAAAATATTACAGAATGCCTCTTGATTGCATATCATGTGAATTTTTTACCCTTTTTCAGGACGCATGAATTGAGAACTTGGCCTACCCCCTCATGAAATAAAGTTAGTTACACTTCACAGATTTGTTAGATGTGTCTTTAAACATCTTGAAGCTTAATGCACTTAGCAATGCCCTTGAATACTGGCGAGAAGCCATTTTCCAATCTCCTCCTGTCTTCATCATTGCCTTAAACTCCTCAAAACTGATTCGTCCATCCTAATTACCAAACAAATTAAGCAAATCAGCAAGTTTATTGTAAAAACAAAGGTTTCCAGTAGGACAAGTTTTCATTCTTACCTTATCCAAGTCAACATCATTTAGAATGTCTTTGATCACCTGGTCATCACTGGCTTCTGACTCATCATCTGACAAGGCTTCTTTCAACTCCTCAAACTCAACATATCCGCTTTGATTCTTGTCAAAGTAACGGAATGCTTCAGACAGATGCTCATCACTTTCAATTCTTCTCAGATGAACACTCATTGTTATGAACTCTTCACAACTGAGGGTGCCGTTTCCATCAATATCTGCCTGTTGTCATCAACAAGGAAGTTTATTTTTCAATATAATAATAGTAATAATCATGATGATTGCAATATAGATAAAGTTTAAAAGAAATTGTTAAGGTTTTGAGCTTTGAAAGAGTTTTTAAATTTCTTCTTTGTATTTACGGTTTGTGTTTTCTTATATCCCAAGTTTGCAAGCATGCATGCATGCCTTTTAATTTAATTTAGCCTTTTTTTATTGTAAATAACTTACAGCATCCATTAACATTTGGACATCATGATCAGGAATGACGTGTCCAATCATTGAAAGCCCATCTTTGAGCTCTTCAAATGACAAGTTTCCATTTTTGTCCTTGTCCATAGTTTGGAACATTTGCTTAAACCCATCAACTTGCTCATCTGGCAGGTTATCGGCTACCACCTGAAGACACAACCCATTTAGGAGTGTAGACTACTTTGGATTGAAGGTAGCAAATCTTTCTGATCTATAACTAAAAAGGGGTTCTGAAACTTACTCTAAGAACCTTCTTTTTGAATCTGTTCATCAGGGAGAATTGCTTGATCCTCATTCTCACTTGGTCTCCAAGAGAAATAGTTCGACCATGATCCTTATTTTGTATCCAGGAATGTTCTTCGCACAGAAGAAAATCATCATCAGCATAAAGGTTTTCCATGCAATAAAAATTAATTTAACTATCTTAAAAACACATCGAAGTTTAATTAAATGAAAAGTTAGCTTGGAAAATAACGCAAATTATATCAGAAATATAAAAGTATGTTAACAAAACCAAGTTCAATTAGGATTACTTGTAAGTTTATGTAATTATTTTTGCCAAGCCAAATACTCCAACATATGTCCATGTGATTCAGCTTATCAACAATGTCTATTGATAGGTATATTTAACCTCAGTACGAATAAGAATATCCACAAATTTTAATAAAAAAGTGTAAACTTATTTTTTTTTAGATGTGGATCACATACCAAGGACTTCTTGACCTGTTATCCGAGTGTATGGATTTGGATCAAGCATACGCTTAACCAAGTGTTTTGCTTCCTCTGAAACTTTAGGCCAAGGATCTCGAGTGAAATCCAACTTACCTCGGATGATTGCCTGCGCAATTCCTTCCTCACTTTCTGTACTAGTTATAATCCATTATTAGAAGCAACTCCATGAAACAAACTTACTGAAAGGGGACCTTTTACTTTATTTTTCTTACTTTGTTCACATATGAATACATAATCAAAATGGGACCTACCTGCCCAAAAGGGTGGAACTCCACAAAGTAAAATATAAAGGATTACACCTGTGCTCCACACATCTATTTCTGGTCCATAGTTACGCCTCAAAACCTCAGGAGCCATGTAATAGGGACTTCCAACAATTTCACTGAATCTTTCACCTGTCACCCCCACATTATAAAGTTGGTGATTTGTTGTATCTAATAAAACAGCGAAAAAAGCCATACAAATATCTACTAGAACTAAATTAAAGTCATAAATTATATTTTACCAGGTACATGGAAGGTGGAAAGGCCAAAATCAATTGTCTTCAATGGAGCAGACTCATTTGCATCTGCAAATAAGAAATTTTCAGGTTTTAAGTCCCTATGTATTACTCCGTGCTCATGGCACACCTGCAAAATATACGGAACAAAATTAGAGAAAATTAATAAAACAAAGAAACAATCTTAAATTGTGGTTTAGATTCAAAGAGGAAGGAAAAAAAACCATCCAAGAAAGAAAAAGAGAAAAAGGACAAAATCTGCAGGACACTTTCAGGAAATGAGCTTCACCTAATCATATTCAACTGTTCTCTTATCCACGCTCTATGCAAAATTCAATACCTATGTGCCTGCGTAAATACTTGAAGTGCTCCTTTCTTTAGCTTCATTATTTAGAATTCTTTAAATGTGAACTCGCAGTCCCTTGGTTCTATTAATGTCAAAATACGAATTATGGTAGTATCTTTGCAAACCTTATTTGTCTGTTTTTCCACATTTTTAATGTAATCAAAATGTATCGCTTTTTAATTCTATAGTCTATTTCATCTTTAACATATATTAATCATAAAATACAATCCATATCTTCTGCTTATTTCATTTCATGACACACACATATATATAGCTAGGGCTACCTATGTCTCAACATCTCCAATCTTATTAACGAGACAAAAACAAAGAGATCAACACAACATAACCATGCACAAACCATTTTCATTTCCAATACAAACAAATTAATATTAAAAAAATTCAGCTAGTAAATCGCGTATAAATATACCTTGCAGACATCAAGTATGGTTTTGGTAACATTAGCAGCAGCACGCTCGGTGTAATGTCCTTTAGCAACGATCCTATCAAAGAGTTCGCCACCTTCACAAAGCTCCATAACAAGATAAACCGCATCTTTATCTTCATAAGCTTCTCTGAAAGAAACAATGTTAGGGTGTTGAGGTAAGTGTCTCATGATCTGGACTTCTCTCCTCACATCTTGCACATCAATCTCCGTTCTCAGCTTCGACTTTGATATCTTCTTACACGCAAACGCTTCCCCACTCTTTATGTCAACACAACGGTGCGTCACCCCAAACTCCCCTCTCCCCAACTCCTTCCCAAACTGGTACTTATCGAATATGTTCCCGGGACTCGGATTCGCCACCACGTTCGCCGGACGCGCTGTCACGCTCGACCTACGCGCCGCCACCGGCTCATTGTGATGGCTCTTTGGCGTGGAGGGTTTGTAGTTGTTGTTACTGTTGTCCTTAGACCTCTTGCGTGTTTTCTTGCCTTGCGTTGATACGCAACTTCCCATGGATGACGAGCCTTCAACAACTCAAAAAATGTTTGGTTTGGATTATATATTATATACTATAATAATAACAATAACAATAATAATACTAATGTAAAGATAATGTATGAAAATGTATATATGTAAATGTTAGGTTGTTTTTGTGTTAATTGTGTGATATTATAATGTATAATCCAAATGGGTTGTGAGAAATGGAGTTATGTTGGTGTTACCCAATCTCCATGGGAAGACGAAGGAGGAAGCATGGAGATTGGAAACTTGTAAATTGTGATGAAGGAGAGAGAGAGAATGAGAATGAGAAAGGCAATGGATGCTATATTTGGGTTAGGGTGTTGACTATTGAGCTGGAACATTGGAAACAGATAGTTGGTCCCGCCATTTTCTTAGGACTGTTATTGTTTATTTACGCTTTTGGTCAAAGACTTTTTTGTCAAAGACATGCATGCATGCAAATCCATCACCAAATTATAGTATTCTGTCCAGGTTGTTTGTTTTTTTCTTTGTACACGTGATTGTTTTGCGTCTATCACAAATGATACGGTGAGTTCTGGCTGTTATTGGTTATTGGGTGCCTAAATTTTGGATATTCGTTTACCAAAAATAAATAAAAAGGAAGGACAACGAGTTAATTACTGCAGTGCCCCTTTTTGGACTTGATCGAAGTGAATAATTAAAAGGAAATTAATGAACTTCTAACAGTGCTATACAAGCCAATTAGACAGTGTTCTACTTATTCTTCTTTACTTCGTATAAATCAAAGTTTTAGGATTTCAATTTAGAGTTGTTAGGTGCTCGGGGAATTTGATAGACATGATGAAGGGCTTGGTTCAGAATTTAGATGGGATGTTTTCATGCTGGAGGAATCTCTCTTAATAACTCATGAACTTGAATGTGTAATTTCCAATCAGGGTGAGTGTCTCTTCGTATTTTATGTATTTTTTAGGATGTATGCATATAAAAAAAATTAAAAATAACAGAAAAAAATATTATGTATATATTAAATTTTAATAATTATTTTATAAATGATGAAACATAGAAGAAAAATATTTAATATACCATTAATATAAATGTATTTTTGTGTGATTAAACAGTTATTTGGAATTGTACTGTACTTCGTACAACGGCAGAGTAATAATTGAGCTTACAATATGAAAATCAACTGGAGTGCTGAGTTGCTTCGTGATTCTTTTACGCGATTAATAAAACATCACAAATTAGAAATATAGTAAATAGAAATGTTAATACTTGTGGGGGCAGCATCATATTTTCAGCCAATTCGTATTCGAAACGCACAATTTATTTGCAGGTACGTTGTGTGTAACTTAAAAGATTAGTGTCGTCTCAAGTTGAAAACGTATATATACACTTACACCCAAATAAAAGAGACTTAGTTTTAAAATTCAAAGACTAATATTCGACATAAAATGAAAATTCAACGTTTTGTGGGGTAATATGCCCAATTTAAACAATGATCTTTTAATCTACTAGTTTCTTTTTTTCCTGAATACTAAACGACTAAGACTTCAGCAAACCCGCTTCGGCGACCACGACTTCAGTAAAGTGACCCATTATAAGAAAGTGGGAGCATAACGTCGAGGAAACACTTTTGGTGCAATATAACTACCGGTGTCTTGGGTATTCCAACCGGAAGGGTGAGGACTGAAGCAACAACAGACCAGATATTTTACAAAGATGATCATCCACTATGAGAGACCTGGCCTGATTGCGCTTTCTCTCAATCTTCTCCAAACCATCCTCCCACAATGAATCAAGGTCAGGATTGCAAAAAAATAGAGGAGAGGAATGCCAACAGTGCAACCCCCTGGCGCCAAATTTACGAGAGTCTGAACAAGGAAAGAGCAAGTCAGTCAAACCAACAGTTTTGAGTATTAGTTGGGGGTGGGGGGATTAAATATCATTAGAAATCAGAATTAAATTAAATTCCTAATTAATAACAATAATTCAAAGCATATCAAAGGGGCCTTTTTCTAATATAGTTCCACAGATTTCTGAAAACTTATCCAAATCCAATAGACAGGTACTATTGGATGCTACAATATCCACCAACATAACAAATTGCAGTGAATAGAAGTGAGTCATTTGAAAACGATTAGCCAATTAATTAAGCTTGACTCAATATACTATGTTTGGCTTGATTAGTTACCAAATAAATAAGGCATTCACCATCGTCATTATATAAATCCCATGACATAGATGAACAGATTTTTCCTTGGTCAAATGCACGGCTTAATTAAGATAGTGAGTAATTTATTTATATCCTTTTCCTACATCCAACGGTAATTGTCTTAATCATGCCAGCTTCACAAATCTGCAAAATTACAAAAGTTTTATGAACCAAAAAAACCTAATTCTACTTTTCATGTCTCTATCAGATCAATATAATTAATATATGATAGGTTGCCAGTGACCATTCTTAATACAAAAGACCACTAGCTTTAAGGCCCGACAAGCCCTAACACCATCTGATACCAAAAAGCACATGACAACACTAAGTTAAAGCAGAATCAGGAAATTTGTGGGACCCAACAAATTTGAAGGTATTCACCTCCTCATCACTGTTCTGTGTGTTTCTAATCTTGGTCAGATGAATTTTAACATTGAAAGGAAGAATTAGGCTTAAATTAAACTAAATCAAATTAAACTAAGTTATTTTTCTGATAAATTCTCTGGATTCAAGAGTACATTAATTAGAGAAAATCAGCATTGGCATACTTTTGTGTCATTGCTCAGACACTTGCCTAATGTTGTAAATATTAATGGGACAGCAACTAATATGCTGCCATTGGTAATGGAACAAAAGAAAGAGGGAAGATGACTAGTCACAAGTTACAGTTGAAAATTATAGGACATAAATATATTAGCAAAGAGTGAGATTTTACCACCATCCCTGCAACAACGTGAACAATGGGAACAAAATATTGATCCACTTTGTTGCCTTCAGTGTACCCATTAAATGCGATGACCATTGAGAAAGTGTGGATTGTGACAAATGCAAGAGCAATAATTGCTGCAATGTATTAGAAAAAAGGTGAACAAATTAGAGGGAATGAAATATTAAAAACACAGTGCATATATAAATTCAAAATCCCAGCTACTGTTGTTTATATACAAGAACTGAGGCTTAATAAGAATTCCCATTTCAAGATTATCTTTACCCAATTCTAATCCACCTCTATAGATTCACATTAATGATAAAATGGCAGTTAAGCCTACAAAAATTTCCAAAAGTTTGAAGCTGTATAATCTTATATAATTCCAATACACATATATCACGACCAGTAATGAGGGAAATCTCACCAGAAAGAAGGAAAAATGGAACCTGAGAACACCTGTCAATGAAATAAGTAGCTGGACCAAATGCAGGAGTTAATAGGCTGATGCAGAAGAACACAGCATGAGCAACACCATGACCCAACCCACCAGCTGCGGAAAAAATATGCAAAAAGATATTTTATTAAAAAAACAGACGTTATTATTAGTGATATATAATTCCAATAAGCCATAACTTTTCTCAGTAGAATCTAAACAAGTGATTCATTTTATCATACAATTAAAGTCAATCAAGGATCTAGTTAAATGCCAAATAATAAGGAGAAAAGTGTAAGCAGTATCAGCATGGTTGATCCAGAAACTGCCAAAAGCAACTAATCAATAGACTTATTCAGGGTTGGACAAACAAATGCTGACTTAACCATTGCAACGATTGTACATTTTCTTACCCAGAGCAATCAGCATTTTATCTGTCAGTTGAAGATGAGGTTTTGATACTCTATCAGCAAAAGCATCTAACATATCTTCCAACTTCCTACACAAGACCAAAGGGGAAAAAAAAGCTACATCAATCAACATCAGTATACTGTAACAATACAAAACAGTTTCTACATAATAGTCACAAACTTCCTCATCAAACATATTGTAAAGGCCAAGGGTTTCTAAAAGCATAAGATAACAATATATATGAAAATACACATGCAAAGAAAAAAATAAAGCAAACAGCAATATAAGCTTACGTATATAATTTCCAGAAGAAAAGCCTGAGCCCTTCTTGAAAAGCAACGGATGAGAATATGAGCATTCCGAAAGGCCACCATGCTGTTGAATTCAGAGGCAAAAACCCCCTCCATATTCCAGACAGCACAATCAAACTTATAAGCCACAACAGTGTACTGCGTCCTCAAATTGAATCAACACATAAACGTGTCAGTTGAAGTCACTACAAGTAATCAGAAAACCCTAAATTGCATTGCACAGTAACCAATAAAGCAAATCAACGAAACAATTCCATAGCGTTAGTGTTTACATGAGATCAAAGAGAAAGAGGAGCATAACGTAACGTACCTCGAGAGAACAGTGAGAATCAAGAATGGCTTTTTCGAAATTACTGAAACGAAGAGGGAGAGAGAGGGTCCTAACGCTATCAGAGCGTAACCGATTCCTGCAGCCACCGTCATCGCAACTTCTCTCTCTCTCTCTCTCTCTCTTTCTCTCCAACGAACAGAATCTGAGAAGTAACCAAACACTTCCCAAACTCGTTCTCTACTCAACTCCTACTTCCGAGACAAAACCACTTGAAACTGAGTCGCCCCATTTTTCGGCCCGACTCGTTTTCCGGGTCGTTAACGTAAGCCCAGTGATACAAATTTGGGCCCAACAAATTGAACGTTTACTAATGGCTGGGCCATATCAAGAACAGAATAGCCCAAAACGGCCCATTTCTTGACTCAACCGAACTTCGTGAAAATTATTAAAAGAATTTTTGCTAATATATGTTAAGTCGTTAAGGCTAAGAAGAGAATAATTATAAATAATTGTTACGACTTACAAGGATATCTCAATGCACAAGATTAGTCATTTTATGAGCAAAGAGAGTATTCAACGTAACTTGTACTAAATCAAACTTGGGTGATTAATTGTTTCATGACAAAACATTATAAGGTATTGACATTTTTTTTAATTAAATAACTAATTTTACTATCTATTAATATAAAATTAATAATAACAACTATTTCACGTGTAAAAAAATAAATACTAAACCCTCTCAACTGTAAAGGGCACAGTATAACATTTTTACAATGAATCAAATATTTTTCTTCTTTTCTGTTTAATTAACACGGTGCGGAGGATTGCGTGATTTTTTACTGACCAAAGAAATGAAATCGCTGTATTACTTTTTCTTTCCTATCAATACCATTGTACTTTATTTTAGAAAATCTATTGTCTCTCTAAAAGGTCTATTGCCACACCCTGTTATATATATATATACTCTTTTTTATTAGTTAGTTAAATTAATAATAATAATTTTTATGTAAAAATTCTTACAAGAGGAATGACAATAGACATTTTGGAGTGGCAACAGACCATTTTTTTCTCCTTTCATCAACGACGATTATATTTACATAAAATTGAAAATCTGCATACTCTTCAACTTCTAGGATCTCTATAATAATCACTGAACATTGAATGAATCAGCCAAAAAGACGAGACAAAAAAAAAAATGGTAAAACAACAAAGATCAAGAGTCTTCGTTAATAAAACCAGGTTTCAAATCATCCAACGTTGAATACAAGTTTTTCTGCAAAATAATAGCCTCATAATAATTTGGTCACAGCCTAGTACTGATCTATACGTGTGTACATGTGAAAATTTGCAGTGATGACTCGTTCAAATTAAACCTGTGACCCCCCAAAAAATAACCCAAATCCAAAATAATGGTTATTCTTTAGCTTTTTTTGGGGTCCACGTTAAAGCTTTTTGTTGAGTCCAGACTTTTTGGGCTTGGAAGATGGGCTTGAGTTTGAGGCTTCCTTGAAGGCTGATGGGCATAACTCACTTATACGGCATTCTCCACAACGAGGTCTCAGAGGTGTACAAATTGTCTGTCCAAATCCTACCTGTTTAGAGTCAAGTCACAAATTGTTTATAAGAAATAACAAGCCAAAATGAAAATTTATTGTGTATTTGGTGGGCACACAAATGAGTTCCACACATACATGTAAGATATTTAAATAACTATCTTATACTAGTTTGCCATATAAAATCAACTAATGAAGCAAAACATAGCAAATTATAATTTTGAAACTGAGTTAGACATACCAATAGAGGGTTTATTGGAACCCATTCTTCCTTTGGAAGCCACCGTTGCAGTGCCCCTCTTGTCTCTTCAGGAGTCAAAGTTTTCTAGCAAATTGAGGAGGATTGTAACTTTGAATTGTGACCTTAGAAACAAAGTGACAAAAGAAACTAAACCCAAGCCACTTCAAAGAGCTGATTTGTTATCGCTGATTATCATTGCATAACTACAGAAACGCTATAAATGTGACAAATTCTTTTAGTTTTCGGTTTCTATAAATGTGATAATTTAACAAATGAATATGCCATCATGTAGTATAACAATATATATGTATGCGTGTGCACATTAACAATTGAAAGTAATTTGCATAATCTTTTCCCTCTACAAGGAGAAAATCTATTGAACTTCATTACAACTGTAACATCTGCACCAGCTCCAAGATGTTGTGAGAACAAGTAAATAAGGTAATAATGCCCCATACATAAAACATGAAGCCGTGGAACTTAAAGGAACCTGTTTTGTGCCCAATCTTGACACCCACCCAAGCCGGTTGCAAATGCGATGGACATGAGTATCTACACATATCCCTTGGACATTGTTCCATCCAACATTCATAACCTAATGTGCCACTAACAAAATAAATTTCAGAAAACTAATGAAACATATTGTTTGAATTAGAAAAGCTATTGCACGTACCAGATGAGCCATCTTAGGACCAATGCCTGGAAGTAAGAGTAGTTGTTCAATTGAGCTAGGTATGTCTCCCTCATACTTCATGAGACAAATATTAGCAATTTTTTTCAAGTTAGTGGCTTTTCGTGTATAAAACCCAACCTGGAAAAAATAATAACCAAAAGTACAAGCATGGATTCAAATTCAATCAATAGAGCACAAAACAAACATAACTTTAAAAAGAAATTGGCATGATAAAATGCAAGCTAAGAACATACTGGAAGCTTCAGAAGTATATTCCTTAACTTGCCACTTAAATTCAAATTTATTGAATCACAGAAGAATAACTTTAAAAGAAACAAGGAACATACAGGGTAAATCAACTTTTTGATGGTTTCTTCATCAGCATTATTGATTGCATCAGCAGTAAGGAGATCATTTTGCAGAAGCCGTTGGATTGCTCCTATTCTTAAAAAACATACTTGTAACTAGAACCGTAGTTGAAATATCACAAACACTTTGAGCAACTACCAAGTGTGAATTAATACATCAAGACAGATGGTAAATGAAATCTTGGAGGCAGAAGTACAATGGCTGCCTATTTTTTTTTTTGTTTAAATTAGCAATTGACTAGCAATATACTCATTTCCAGAATTCAGTCATTTATATCAAGAAATATAGAAAGGGTCCATTTTGTCTTGTGCTTCCTCCCTTAATTCCTTCCTTCTACTATTTCCTCTTGTTATGTCATGTTTAATAAGAAAACATACGTTTGACATTCAAATTTCTGACATTTTCTTTCTTTTATTCTTCCTGTAATGCTTTGACCTCAAATATGGAAAAGCCTTGTTTGCAAATAACTTACAAATCCACTTTCAACAACCAAAAGATTTTGCTAACTGGGTTTTGCATATTGACGAGACTATCATATCAATCTTTCAAGTTTTTTCAAAACTTCAAAACACTAGCATATTACCTTATTAGGCTTAAGCTTATTACCCAAATCGAACCTCAATTTAAACCAAAACAAGTCCCAATAAATCATCACTTTCTAGACACTAATAATCTCATCTGTTAACCAATATTTTCAGTTACTCTTCAATTGCCATCTCAATAGGTCAATGAAAGATAAACTTCTGCTATTCTGAGATAATATGTTTTCTTATTGCATGTTAATGCCACTAATCTCATACTTCCATAAGGCAAGAATGTTCCTCTAGGTGTTTGATCTGAAAAACAAAACTTTACTATCTTAGAAAACATCTCTATGTACATAAGGTTGGAAACTTAATAGCAATTTTCTTTTTTTAACTATAAGCTTCAGAAGGTCAATGAAAGATAAACTTCTGCTATTCTGAGATAATGTTTTCTTATTGCATGTTAATGCCACTAATCTCATACTTCCATAAGGCAAGAATGTTCCTCTAGGTGTTTGATCTGAAAAACAAAACTTTACTATCTTAGAGAGCATCTTGTTAGAGACAAGTTTCCCGAAAGCTTGAAAATTTACAAGTGGCAAAACTATAGGAGAGGAATTAGGAAATAGGTTGTTATGTTCTGTTTTGAGTAGATTAGGATTTATCTTAATTCCTTTTGTTTTCTGTTACCTTTTGTTATTTTATGTTACAGTAGTTAGGAGTATGATTTTAGGAAACATAACAGTTTAAATAAGGGAATTACAGAGTGGAATAGGTATCGGGAAGATTAATTCAGACTTAGGGTGTTGAGCCACTTGAGAGCTCACTTTCCATTGCTGTAAATTCTGCTCAACTGAGCCAATTCAAATACAGAATTTAAATTTCAGAATCCTTATCTTATCACATCTCTATGTACATAAGGTTGGAAACTTAATAGCAATTTTCTTTTTTTAACTCTAAGCTTCACAAGGCATATATACTCACCATGCGTAACATGATCCTTAGTTTGGCTTGATAAAAGAGAAGATACCAAGACAGCAAATCTTCTTTCCTAATTATACACACAAGAATTTAGGTAAGGATAAATTTATTCACATCATGTTTCATACAAATATAGAAGTTAAAGGAATTACAGTGACGGTACAGCTACAACAACTAATATAATATATAAAATGAAATCTATCCAAAAAAAAGGCGCTATGACAAGCCAACCTATCAATTCAATTCAAGATTACACACGTAGAGGATTGACTATTTTGGTCATCAGCTCATCAATATCATCATCAACTAATTGAATGAGCAATGGCTATACCGATTGATGAATGACTATTGGTTTATCAAATCAACAACATTCACTGAGTTGTGTTTTCTCTGCCCCCAAAAGTTGTGTGGCAAGCCATATTCTTTCAAAGGTGTATCTCATAATGACTTTTTCTCAAAAGCACCAGAACAGAAACTAATAAATGCTTATCCTTTCCCCATAGATCAAATTAAAATATTGAGTCAGACCTTAGGAGGTAGTGTATTGCCAGCCTTCTCACATCCCATAGTGTCCACTGGTGCATCTGCAGAACACCTCATTTTGCGAATCCCCTCAAGCACCTTTTCCCAGTGAGCAGGTGATTCACCTATATCATATGTGAATTAAATAATTTAAGCTAAACCAAAACAGCTGGGAAGTAAACTAGTTTCAAATTAATATGTTCACAAAATGACAGAATTATTAATTTATTATATCAATGCACGAATAAATTTTAGTTTCCGTGTATGAATTAAACAAAATACACTTCATTAAATACATTCCTGAGAAGTTGATGTGGAATTCAACCCATACACAAACAGAGTACTTTAATACATACACAATGAGAGATGAAATAGTACAAAATAAAATTGCAGATTTCAGCTAAATCTCTCTTTTAAATTGATTGTGTTCACTAAATACACATATTTTAATTCAACAAATGATTTGTTCATAGAAAGCATCGTTAAATTAGCAAGTGAGAGCCTGCTTGGCCACATTAATTGTGCTTTATCTCTTGATTCAACGAATTTCAAATCATTTTACAATACCAAAGGAAGAGAGAATTTTACAAAAATTCCTGCAACTAAAAGAAAATAAGTTTGATCCAAAGGGAAAATAGTAATACTTATTTAAACGAAGCAATCAATCATAAGTTTCATCTAAGAAGCTTTTCTTTATCCTTCAATACTTTCGTTTAACACATAATTAGAACTTTACTCAGGTATTCCCACATCTGAAAAAACAGCCAACCCCAATATCCTAAAGGAATTAACTAAATTTTTTTATCCCCTACTACTTGAAAATATTGATTTTGGATTTCGATGCAATTCCCAAATATCTAATTCATCAATTCTAACATGTCAGATCTTTTTTTGCCATTTCTGTCCATAATTGGACAGTTAGCAGATCACAGTAGCAGGAAAATAATGATAAAATAAAAATTTGAGACACCGAAATCTAAATTTTCAAAAAGATGAATTCTGGAATACTGGGGGGAGCAAAAGTTTAGTCGTGCCTTCCAGAAGTGCAGTTCAAGAATTCTATTCACAAATTAACAAGAACTAAAGAGTGGAAGTAACATAGCATTTTTCCTCTCAAACAATATTCTGTTCCTTTTATATGAAAACACCTAAAACAATTGCATTTTGGAACTATATGGTGTAACACTTTAAGTTCTAACCGCTGAGTCTAGCAGAAGCAACTTCACTTTTCACTGGAGTCACATCTGAGTCCATTTCTGATTTCCCTGGAAAGAAAAGCTGATTCTATGAGAACTCAATCTCACAAAAAGAATAGGCAAACATGAAAATGCATTTGGTATGTGCAGTGAGTGACTAGGTGGGCGGGTCTCAAACACAATCATGCATACCTCTACCCCTGGTTGAGTAAGACCTAAAAATAACAATATCTAGCAATCACCTTCTCCATTAGGAGCACATCAATATTCATTAATTACAAGCTTCTACAAATTTGCTAATAAAACGGTAGCTTATCATACCTTTCCAAACTCATGAAAACTTTCCTATTCCTTTCCTGTATTTGGAAATCTAATCCCCTTCTTTTCGGCTTCATACATTCACCATAAAAAGGATTAATTTATTCTCAAATCAATAAAGCATTTATGAAACAAATCATTAAACTCCTAAGGCGGGACCATTGCAGTTGTTGTGAATTAAAATATGCCAGCACACACAAGATTACTTATTTAATAAATAATTCAAGATATCATCAGTAGAAATAGCCAAAAAGGGAATACCATCAAAGTTGAGAAAAGGGGTACTTACTACAGTGATCCAATTCTTTTGCTCCACTGTATGCAAAATCTTCAATCTCGGGTAGGACAAGCTTCTGTTGCATATCACAGTTAAAAACAAATTACATAGCAAGTTAAAAGCTTTGTTATAACAACAGAAAATGGGAATATTAACATAGACACCCATTGGTTCATTTAAGCAAAATGATGAAAAAGTTGTAACCTTGTCGTTGTGGGTATTTGAAGGTAGATGCTCCTTTTGTTGAATTATTCTGCTTCTCTTATTTCTCCTCACAAAGACACGAACTTGAGAGTGGGAACCTTCAACAAATGAAGCATTTGTCTCAGACATCGTCGATGCTTTGATTCGCTCTAAAGAAAACCAACGATGACTAACCGAAACCACCAGCATTCGATTTGAGAGTTGTATCATGGGTATGCCGTTCAAATCATTTGAAAGAAAATGTTATTATAATAATTACTTTTAATATTTATCAATTTTAAAAATATAATTATATTTTATTAATTTTTTTGTTAATGTTTTCCATTCTATTTAAGAAAAATATTTTGAGATGATAAATAATATGAAACAAAAGTATTGATAAGTAAACTTTTTACGTTAATGTGGCGAAACATCTTATATAATATTAAAATAAAAAATATTAATTTCAACTTTTAAAGTTAAATGTAAATATTTAATAATATTTATTATATCTCTATGTTTTTAATATAATAAATATTTTTGTTGTAAATTATTATGATTGTAATAATATTCTTAAATTTAACTAGCATAATCACATTAAAATTGATCTTTATGAGTTAAATTCAAGGAGAATAATTCAAATTTTAACTGTTATTGTTTTTTAATGTTTCTTACTTACAGTTTTTTTATATTATTCAATATATCTTTATTTTTAATTTTAATTTTTTATCTTTCAATTTTTTTATCTTTATCTTATGCTTCATGAAAATTGAAAAGTATCAAATGTCATTATTCTTTAATTTTTTATATTATTTGAAAAATGAAAGTGCTATATATATATATATCATTTATAACGCAAGATATTATTAATTATAGCTTATAAAAATATGAATAAAAATATTAAATTAAAAGGAAAATTACATTTTTTATTATTTTAAATATAATTAATGATAAAAAAAATTTAAATAATATGTGAATATTGCTAGCATTACTTACTTAATTTTAATATTTATAAAATATTATTTTGACTGTCTGAAAATAGTCTATAAAATAGTTTAAAACAAATTGTTGATCTAAACTTAAAGTACTTGCTTTTATTTTTTATGAAAATGTGATTGGTATACAAAACTCCCTAACCAAACTTAAAAAAAAAAAAAAAATCAATTGAAATCAGAGTTAGTCAATAGCATGGGAAAGAATAATCTGTATTAATTATTTTACAACTCATGCAACCAAAATTAACACATTACAATACAAAGATAAAAGTGCAACATCGGTCAATCATAAAAAGAAAATGAGTATAATTATTAAATCAAGAAAAATAAATATAATTTGGGATTGAAATTTTTTCTTTAATATTAAAGTAAGAACATATTTTTAATTTTAAAAAATACAAAATAAAAGCACCATATCACATATTACATCTCCTTACACATTACCCAATAAAAAAAACCACTCTAATTATCCCAAGATATTTTATACTTGCAATAATATAATGTGATAAAACATTTTTTGAGTGTTGGGAAAGGAAATTTTCAAAAGGGGTCTGATACGTACATTACCAGTTTGGGGGGTCATATGCATTTTGGCAAAGCGAATATGCGAAAGCGTTCATCAAAATTTTGCCTGCCATCTGCTATATACGAGTGAGTGAACATTTTGAGTTAACCATTTTTTATTCTTTCTCCAACAAGGCTTCACTGTGAGCTTTCTTTTCCTCTCCAATTTCTCTCTGCATTCAACTCTTCTTCTATAATTTTCTATCGTTTTTGAAACCCAATAAATTATTATTATTTTTATTTTATGTGTCACTTTTTGCCTTCTTATTATAAAGTTTAACATTTCAACATAACATGCATTCGGTTTTTCGCAGGTTGTTCATTCGAGCAAAGGTGAAAAGGTGGTGCCTTTTTTATCAGACAAGACAGTGTTGCATTTCTTCAACTCTAACATTGCCAGGTAAGGTCGTATCTGCGTTACCCTTTTGAGGAATATAAATGTTTCTGAAATCCATCATTGGTAAAATTTGATTTTTGGTGATCTTACATCATGCATGTTCAATTGAAGTTGTCTCTTTTTTATTTGATAATTGTTGCTCTATTTGCTCAGGATGTTCTGTTTTCACTTCTAAAAAATAATAATAATTTGACTTTGGGTTGACTAATTGGAATTGAGCTGGTGGAAGGATGTACAGTGAGAAAAGCTCTCCAAACTCTTGTTTTTCTGTTAATCATTTAAACTCAAATTTGAGACCGTGTTGAAGGGGAATCAAGTGTTTTTATCGCTGGTACCAATATTTGTCTTTTTTTTTTTTTTTTCCCCAATTGTGTGACTAGAAAAATGTTGCTTTTTCTGATAATGTAAATTTTATTCGGGTGCAATTTTTTCCTTATTTTATCATTTAAAATAAAGTCTTTTGAGAAATGTTCATATTTTTAGGGGTCAATGGTTTGTCAATAGACATGATTTGCCATATAAGCTGATTTCACCTAATGATAAAAGGCTTGATGTTTTGAGAAATGTTGATGGCCTGTGTGACTTTGCTAGGCCAAGGACATAAAGGGTATGTTTGGGGTTGATTTTTAGACGGGAAGGGAGGAAAGAGTAAATAGTTTCCATTTCTAAAAAAATTCTCTAATTTCACATTTTTTAAAAGAAATTAAATGATAGATTAACATAAACTTAATTTGTTAATCTTTTATATATTTTTATCAACATTATGTAAATCTCTTAACTTTAAAATAAAATATTTGTCTTCTCCTTCATTTCCCCCGAAACATACTCAGAGGGACTCGTGCACTTATTTTGCAAGCTTGTTCTGTCCAACAGTAATCAGACTTTTTATTGGTTCTCTTACTCTATGTATGTGGCTTTTGACAGCACAAGGTCACTAGTCGACCTTGAAAATCACTGGATAGGACATGGCTTCATCAGATGTGTGTCCAACCGAGGATGCAGTTCAGGTATTCCTAGAACACTTGGTTGACCCAATGCTGCCCGCAAAATCATCTGTCCGGGATAATCCAACACCATCTCAACAGCAGTTAGTTGCAAAACAGGTGTCTTTTTCCGCGTCTTTTATGTTTGCATAGCAATCCATTGATTAACCTTTGTAATTTATTTGGACACTGTTTTAAGTTATGCTGTTTCTCTTAATGGTTTCTTTTGTTCCTTGTTTTAAGGATTATTGGAGATGCTGATGTCAAGATTTATAAAGTGTATTAGAGATTCTATTTACATAAATTCTCTATGTTTTGCTTGGTTGGGGCATAGAAAGCATAGATAATAGTTTCCCCTGGTGAAAAGAAACCAATTTGTTGTACATAACATAATGTTTTCAACTCTCTAAAAAACTTGTAATCTATGCCTGGTGAGATTTGACCTTCTTAACTAAAGAGGAGTCTCCATTTAAACAAAAATTTGATTTTAATTAACATAGTAACATAATCCTGGCCATTAGCCATCAGCCTTTGAATTAAACCTCAGTGCCCTAAGTAATAAATATTTATTCGGTGTTCTTTCTTGATAATCATCCTAGAAATGCTGTGATGATTAGGTCGTGTTCAATACAAGTCTGCACAGTGAATTTTTCAAATAATAAGATTTCTTGCATTTCAGATTATACAATAACCACTCATGATGATTTTGGGGGTGGTCAAGATAATTGAAATAAATTATTAAGATGAATTGCCTTGATCTTTTATATTGAAGACTTTCTTTTGCAGAATGTACCTTCTGCTTTAATAACTATAATGCTATTTCATTTCACTTTGGAGGGCTCCCCTGTGTAGCCATCTGGTGCATTTATGTTTGTCCCAGTGCATATCACTAAAAATGGAAAGAAACGATCAAAGTTCATATTGCATTATGATTTAGTAATTCCAAGTATCCCAAATATATGCTTATAGGGTTATTGGAATGCCCTTGGAGAGTATCATCTATAGTCATTGAATTTTCTGTTTTTTATGTTAGGTGCATTCAGTTGTCTTACTGTACAACTACTACCACAGGAAACAGCATCCAGAGCTTGAATATCTTCCATTTAATGAATTTTGCAAGTTGACTGTGGTTCTGAGGCCAGCTTTATTAACGTTTATGCAATTCATGCAAAAGTTAAATGAAGTAGAACACATTGATGTGGAGAAGCAGCTGTCATTGACAGAAAAAGAGATTATGGATGCATGTGATGTATGTAAATGTTTGGATGCATCAAAGAATGTTCCTAATATAGACGGATGGCCCATTACAAAAGTTGCTATCCTTTTAATTGACAGTACGAAGGAGTACTGTTTTTTGTTGTTTGGTTCCATCACTAATGGGGTATGGTCTCTGGTTGAAAAAAATCTGGACACCTCTGGTCAAAGTTCTGAAGTTACATCAGAAACAAAACATATGTATAAAAAGAAAAGAGTCATTCAAAAGTCTACCAGAGATGAATTAAAAGTTGATGAAGATGAATTTCTGCAAGCAGGGTATTCTGCTGTAAAGGAAGCCAGTGGTAATTATCCTTATTATAGGGAAAATTTGCTGAGGCTATTGTTTGCAACTGTTGGAATTTAGTTTTAACTAGGATTCTGTCTTCATGCTTGAATTGGCATCACAGATCAAAGGGACATTCTTATTTATCAGGATTTTCCATTTCTCAATTTATTTATTCAAGTGATGATGTCAATATGACTAGGATGCAATAATACATGCTTCATGCTACATACCAAGGGTTGATCTCTATTTGTCAAAATTTTGTTGTATCATTTTTCTCTCTCCAATAAAATTTTATTTTCAATACAAAAAATATCATTGCATCATAAATTTGTACCTGATAGTTAATGTTTCATTTTCTTAGTTTTAGTTTTAGTTTTAACAGGTGTTTTATGACATGTAAATAGCTGAATATGATTCTTGTACTGTGCTACAGGCATTGATAGCACTAATATTATGCTTTTGGAAAGTGACACTGTCTATTCTCATAGCAAACCGAAAGTAGCTTCTCGATTTTATCTAATGCAGTGCTCCCAGTTGAACAATCAAGATGTTTTTCAAGTTCCTCTCAAGGATGTAATGAAAAGGTCTGTTTTCATTGCTATTGTTTTGCCTGTCTGATGGCACAGGTCCCAAGGGTGAATAGCATTGCTGTCACCAGCTTTTCAAATGATAGGAAAATGGGGCCTTTTTCTGTCAGGCATTTAAGTGGAGTCATCTTTTTTTTTCACTGCTGCCTCGTAAAATATACTGGAGGTCATACTATAGTATGGCACATTAATGTCACTTACTGCTGAATGAACTAGTGTATAAATCTGAGAATTAAATGCTATATTGACCTTCCATTTTGATATTTTTTTAAATAACAAAATTGCACAAATATTTTTGGGTAGATGGGATGGCTACTTGTTAGCTAGAATTTTACAATCTTATCACAAGGGTGTATGTAGTGTAACATCGTAGAATGATGTCTACATAAGTTGTTTTGGATTAGATATCTGTCTTGACTCTTGAGTCTTTCAAATGAGTGTCACAAAGAAGTAGAGCTGATTGTTAATGGACTCTGCATATGTTTCTGAATAACATTTGTTTCTTCTTTTTGCATAGCTTGCAGGGTCCATTGGTCAATAAGAGTTCTAGCAGTTGGTTGATCACTCCTGTCATTGATTACTTCCATGTGCTTCCATATTCAGAAATAATATCGAAGTGGATTTCCAGGTTAGTGCAATTCTTTTTCTCAAAACTTTCTTTAGATTGACTTAGCAGTATTTTGAATGTCATATTCCATAAGCGATGCTATTTCAATTTGTGCACCTACATTTTGACTTGAGCTCATAGCAACCTGTGATAACAAGAAAAAAGTAGAACTAATTGTGCTCATTAAATTTTATTTCAATGACCATGATTGTGCCTAAACCATAAGCATATCTAAGATACTAATTTCAGCAGCACCTTTGGAATGATTGTATTTTGGTTTCTTTTACAATACTAAATACATATTTTGGGATTTACCAACAATCTGAATTATTTAGAAATTTGTTGGTTCTTGCATTCTCAAGCCTAGATCATAGAATTTAAACAGTTTGGGCTTAACATTCAGTTTTTTACATAGAATAATCATCTGCCACAAGCAATAAAGTGAGGTTAATGTATGAGAGTTCCAAATACTGATGAACCCTGTTGTTCATAGTAACACTTGCATGGTTGAATGACTTGCAGAAATAGATTCATAGCTCATCCATACATTGGCGGTCTCCGATCCTTGATCCAATGTCCCTCTATCATTCCTTTCCATTTTATGTTTTTTAGCCACTATCTCCATAGGATGAGGCTGATTATTTATGTAATATATTCTATCTTGGCAGGGAAGCATTCTCAAATAGTTTGCGAGATTCAAGGGTAACAGAGAAAAAGATAATGGGGGGCACCCCTGAAGTAATGGAATCCTATGTAAATAAGGATACATTTACCGATCATGATAGTAAGCCAAGCAGTGATAATATCGAATCACCAAAGAATAAAGAGAACAGTGGAAGCTGTGCACTTGCATTATCTGATTATGTTAAGGAGCCCCAGGAAACGTATGTGAATGACTCATCAATTTTTCCATCTCAAAAAAACCAAAAAAGCCATTATATTACCAGTGCTGTAGAAGTTGGTGCATCTCAAGGGAAAAACAACCTATCTGCGCAGCATAACTCTAATGGCCCTGCAAGTAGTGTTAAGGTTTGAAACTTATCTAATTTTCCAATTATTGAGTTGATTGCTTTCGCTAGATCACGTTAGGATATTCTTTGTTCTGATTACCTTTTTTATTTTTTTGTTTTTGGATGAGTTCCCTCCCTCCCAAATTGTGACCTTAACACTGTTGACTAAACACAAGCTTTTTGCTCTTTTAGGTAACATATAATCTAGCCATGTTAGAATCCTTAATGCAACAATACTCCAAAATTGGACATTTACCTATAAAGTATGCATATCATATAGTAGCCCCCATATATTTGGCATATCCTTGAATATAGTTTGGAAAGATATGAAAAAATATCTTGTTAGCTATCAAATTTACTTACAAAATCAAAACTTTTTGTCCCCATCTAATTTTGGATCAACTAACTAATATATATATACTAACATTTATTGACACTAATTTATGTATTACTGGAACCAGGGTAGCCTTTTGCGTATCCCAAAAAAATAAAAGAAGAAATGAAAAAAGCCAGAGTAGCATTTGTCACAATTTTTTTTTTGTCTTCTCTTTTTCTTTATAGCAGAAGTTGGGTCAAACATTTTTAGAAAAGATCTTAAAGTATCTTTATTTCAATGAACAAAAGCCCCACAAAAGGAGTTTCTATGAGCTAATTAGAGGAGCTTCTACTTTTAAAGAGAAGATAAAAAAAAGCTAGGCCAAACACTATCTAGGAGCTTCTACTTTGATCTAGTTATACCATTCAGTTTTATCAAAATGTTTCCTATACTAAAATCCTCTGTATATATGTCTATGCACTGAAAAATACTTGTGCACACATTGTTATCCTTGAGATTAAACTTTATTTTGGTTTCCTATACTTAATGTTAGCAATAGTTTTTGTATTCTATTCTCAAATCAGTTAGTTAAACCTTTGTAAAATTGTCAAATAGTCATCTTGAAGGTTTGTGAAATATTTTTTAGTACGACTATTCTCTTGATAAAAAGGTTTAAATATTATTCTAGTCCATATACAAAACTTTTTTTTATCTGGTCTCTACAAAATTTTTTCTATATAAATTCCTAATGAAAAAAAATATTTTTAAAATAATATTGACGTAAACCTTTGTTATTGAACTGTTATTTGATATTAATATATATTTTTATTTTGATCCATTTATAAAATATTTTTTATCGTGGTCCTTATATGAAAAAAATTTCAATTATAAGGATCAAAATGAAAAATGTGTTTCAGAAAGGAAACGAATGAAAAACAATTATTTTATATAGAGGTAAAAAAAAAAGTTTACCATCAAACACAAGTTAGAAGATGTTATGGTGATTCATGATGGATTATAAAAGACAATTCAATAATTTTAATAATATCATTGTAACTTAATTTGATTGTGAAGATTATTATGAAAAAATAGTATTTAAGATTTAAGAAAAAAATATTTTGCTTTTATTTATTATGAAAGATTATGAGGAGAGAATTTAAATTGATTTTTAATTGTTAAAATCATTTTTTTTCACTTGAAATAATAATGAAAATTTCTTTTTTGGTTTTGTTTCATCTTCTAGAATAAAATTTATAACTGAAGTTGTTCATACTTTTAGTTACAATTATGATTGATTATTTATTTTATAAACAAAACTAAAATATAGTTCTTTAAGTGTAGGTCTCGAATTAAATTTGTATCCTTATAAGCAACAAAAGAAATGTCATATTAAAGGTTGATACTAATTTAAAAAGTAAATCTCTAATTTTAACTGAAAAAGTACTAAAAATATTTAAAGTACTGCACGTAAGTTTTTTTTCAAATAAACTCTTAAATAATCTCTTAAAGGTAGCAAAAGTATATCATGAAATCTTATTTTTACTAAATTATCAAACAACTTTTCATTACAATTTTAATAAACACATTAATATACAGTTACATTATTTAAAGTTGGTAAATCATCTTTTATTACTTGCCATGAATTATCATAATCTCTTTTAACTTATTTCAATGATAAATTTTATTTTAGTCTCTCTACATAACACTTTTTTTTCCATTTTAGTCTATATACATAATACATTTTTTCATTGTTGTCTTTATATGTAACATATTCTTTTTTTTCAATCCTTATAGTTAAACTTTTTTTTTCATATAAAAAATAAAGTAAAAAATGTTTAAATACGAAATATCGTGCTACTAACATTAAAAGCAAGGACTATTTTAAAAATATATTTTCAATTTTGGGACATGTTTATAAACTTTTTTTTGTGTATAGATAAAATAAAAAAAAGAATTTCATGGAGGGACCGAAATAGTTTTTAAACCTAAAATAAATATTGTCACAATTATGTGGCTGATCAAGAAGTAGTTTTTTAAACGAGTGTATTCCAATGCATATTAATTTATCATAATTATGTTTCTAAATGAGCTTCACCTTGCTGCTATCATGGTTCATGTGTTTGATCCTTTGTTTATCTCTCATCTAGCTCATGCCATTTGTTTTGGCAGCCTTTGAAGGCTAAGTCGACAAGGATGCTCATCACTGAAGGTGGAATCAACAATCTTGCTTCTTTCCACAATATTTGTGCCAATAGGCCCAATGCCTCAACTGAAAAAGACACAGTAGATGATTCTACTAAGACTGAAAATCTTTTTAACTCAAATCTAGAAAAGCTCCAAATTCTTCTAAATTCAAAAAAGATGCTGTCACAAACTGCCCTAGCTGTCTTGATACGAAAGAGGAATGAATTGGTAAAACTTCTTCATTGTGTTTTTTTAGTGACAAGAATGTTTATACCTATTCTCAGTTTCTATGTATGGGCTTCTAGAACATATACACTTGTTATCCTAGAAGAACAGATATACATGTTATCTTAAAACATACATATACATGCTTGCATTAGTAACTTGGGCAAATCCATATTGTCAATGAAATAAGTTGCTTACTGCAAATTTTGCACTTAAGGATTCACATGCTCCCGTGTTGTATGCCGCTTGTCAGTAGGCCATTACAATCAACTGTATTTGGACCATTCAAATAGCATTCTGCCTCTTTCCCCCATTGGTTGTTCCCTTAGTTGTGCCTACTTTACTGGTTTTTCTTAATTTTAAGGATTACCTTACCACTATTTTTTGAATGCCCTGAAACTATATATTTGTATTTATCTTAGACTTAATTACTCCATTCAGGCCCTTCAGCAGCGCAAGATAGAGGATGAGATGGCAATATGCGATGAAAAAATTCAGAGAATGTTAACTGGTAGCTTTCTGTTTCAGTGTTCATTTCTTGTCTTGCTTCTCTGGTGCATTATTCTATCAGTTTTTTTTTTCTCTCTTCCCCTTCCCTCTCATTGCATTTCGCAGGGTTTATCCCTCTCATTATTGTTTTTGTATACTTTTTGGTATCAATCAAACTCTCAAGCAAATTTTGATGTTGATTTAGGGCCTGTTTAGAAATGTTTATGAAAAATAATTTTTGACTCTCATAAGTTGTTTTTAACTTATTTCAATTAACTTTTAAGTATAACTTATCAAAATAAGTTGTTTTCAACTTATTTTAATAAGTTTCATCATTAAATTTATAGCATAAGTCAATTTTTAAAAAAAAAGTTTATTAAATAAGTACTTAAATAAATAGATTACCAAATGTATCCTTAGGCAATGATTGTTGGCTTCTTATAGGCATTTTGCTCTGCTTCATAGTTAAAATCAGTTGTATGATTCCATATCATCAGCAATGTATCTGATAAAATAAATTTGACATTGTTATTTTTCTTTTCCCCTTTTTTATATGGAGTGTTCATGGTGTTGGGATCTCATCAATTCTAAAAAGCCCATTTCATGGTGTCAAGAACTCATGAAATCAAAAGTCAAATAACTTTTTCTTTAATAGGGAATACGTTAATTGTCAGGATATTATGAATTCAACAAGCATATTATGTCCAAGAAGCAATTTATCAAAAGATAGTGTTTATTCTTAAATTTGAAACCTGTTAAAGTTATTTGTGTCTGCTAATTGGATTTATGAATATCATCTTCAACTTAATTAATCCACGAGCTGATCCTGTTGTGAGGATCTTAGATTTGCCATGTGAAAATTACATATTAATGATCACAGCAGAGCCTCTTTTTGCATCTGAAGATTCACAATTGCATAGCACCCATTATTTACTATCTTTGCAGATTGCAATCCTACAAATGTACAATCCTGATGATTTTTTGATACTAGAATTAGATCCTTAGAAAATACTTGACTTGTATGATATTAGAACCATGGCTAAGGAGCAGATGATTGATATCAATAAGAGACCTAAAGTGTGGAAGGTTTATGTTAAGAGGATGGGTAAAAAAGAGTCAGTTAGTTTGTTTGTTTGTTAATATTGCTAACTGATACTATAAATAGATAGTTCTCGATTGAGGCATGTTCTTTCTTGGGTGTTGTTTTGGGGAAAATTTCATTCTTTTTTGAGGAGCTATTAGCTCTGGGGGATTCTAGTTGAAATTTGGTATCTACAGATTATTGAATGAATATTTCTCATTTATTTACAATATACAATGGTTCTCATTTATACAACTATGGTAATTAACTCTATGCTAAAATCATGGGTATCAATCATACCCAATTATACTAATTACATAAATAAAGAGAAAAAATAAGGAAAGAAATTAAAATATTTTACAACACTCTCCCTCAATCTGGTGAATAAATATCTATCATTCCCAACTTGCCAATAAGATCTTAAAATTATATTGTGGGTAGTCCCTTGGTAAGAACATCTGCCAACTAACTTCTAGATGGAATATATGTCGTCTCTATGAGTCCGCTATTTAATTTCTCTTTAATGAAGTTTCGATCCACCTCTATGTGTTTTGTTCTGTCATGTTGAACTGGATTATGAGCAATGCTTATAGTGGATTTGTTATCACAAAAGTCTCATAGTAGCTTTATATTGTATTTTGAGATCATTCAATATGTTTCTCATCCACAACAACTCACATATCCCTTGAGCCATGGATCTGTATTCAGCCTTTGCACTTGATCTTGCTACTACATCTTGCTTTTTGCTCCTCCATGTTACTAAGTTTCCTCCTAAGAACATACAATATCTTGAAGTGGATCTCCTATCAACAACCATTCCAGCATAGTCTGTATCTGTATATGCTTCTAGTAATAACTCACCTTCTCTCTTAAATAGCAATCACTTTCCTGGGTTGTCTTTCAAATATTGAAGAACTCTATTTACAGCTTGTAGGTGTCTCTCTCGAACATCATGCATGAATTGACTAACTACACTGACAATATAGGCTATGTCAGGTCGAGTGTGAAATAAATAAATGAGTTTTCCAACAAGTCTTTGATACTGGACTTTATCAACTACTAGATTCTCCTTTGCTTTTAATTCGGTGGTTCTGCTCAATGGGAGTTTCAACATTTTTGCACTCTAACTTGCCTGTTTCTTTTAGGAGATCAAGGACATATTTCCTTTGAGATATGAAGATGCCTAATTTTGAATAAGCAACTTCAATCCTTAGGAAGTATTTCAGTCTTCTAAGATATTTTAACTCAAATTGAGTTGCTAATTTTTTCTTTAACACCTGTTTTTCACCATCATCATTACCTGTAATAATCATATCATCTACATAGACCAAAAGTAGCGTTAGTTTACCACCATGTGAATGTTTTATAAAGAGTATGATCACCTTGGCTTTGCATATACCCCATGAAAACCATAGCTTGAGAGAACCTTCCAAACCAGGCACAAGAAGATTGCTTGAGTCTATATAATGCCTTCCTTAATCTGCACACCTTGTCTCCTTTGGAATCATATCCATGTGGTATTTCCATGTATACTTCTTCCAATTCTCCATGTAAAAAGGAGTTCTTTACATCAAATTGATTTAACTTCCATCCGAAGTGAGCTACCAAAGAAAGGATAACTTTGATTGTGTTCATCTTTGCCACCGGAGCAAAAGTCTCCTCATAATCAACCCCATACGTTTGAGTATATCCTTTAGCAACAAGTCTTGTCTTGTACTGTTCAATGGAGCCATCAGATCTATATTTCAGAGCATAGACCCATCTGCACCCGACTACCTTTTTGTTTTTGGGCCTTTCAACAATTTGCCAAGTCTCATTTTTCTCCAGAGCATGCATCTTTTCATTCATGGCTTCAATCCAGTTCTCATCTTGATAGAATCAACAGCTGAAAGAAAACTCTAGTGCTGCATAGAAAGGTGTTTAGTAGACACAAATTGAAAAATAGGGTACTTGGCACAAGACTTTTTTTCTTTTCTCAAGGCAATGAGTAAATCATTAGAATTACCTATACTTTCCTTTGGTTTGGACGGTTGGACTTGTTGTGGGACCAAGTCAGGTTTCCTTTGTCTTTGGTAAATCAATACTGGAGCTTATGTTGGTTTCTCAGTAGGAATATATGTTGATGTCTCAATAGTGTTGTCTAGTGTAGGTGCCAAATCCTGCACAGGTAAAGTGATAAAAGGACGACCATTTGAAAACTCAAGACACTCAGACTTGGGTTCCAACACATTCTTTCCCTGAAGCTGAGGACTAGAGTAGAAAGGTGTGGTATCATGGAAAGTGACATCCATAGATAACACTTGTAACCTTTGGATAACTAATGAAGACGCACTTAAGAGCTCTGGGATCTAATTTTTCACAATGTTGCTGGTGGATATGAACAAAGACAGTGCATCCAAAAACACAACACTTTAAACTACTCATAATAGGAACAGAAGAGAAGAAAGAGGACATAACCTGAATAGGACTGACTCCATCAAGAACACAAGTGGGTAACCTGTTTATCAAATAAACAGCTGTCAAGACTGCTTCTCCCCAATAAAACTGAGGAACTAACATTTGAAAAAGAAGAGCTCTGGCAATTTCTAGCAAATGACGGTTTTTTTGCTCTGCAATCCCATTTCACTGTGGGGTGTAAACATATGTCAGTTCATTAAAAACACCATTCTTTTTCAAAAAATCAGAGAAGGATTGGTTTACATGTTCTCTTCCATTATCAGAATGCAGTTATTTTATTGTTTTTTCAAACTGAGTTTGAACAATATGGAAAAAATTCTGAAAAAGGTTTACAACTTCAATTTAATCCTTCATCAAATATATCCATGTTACTTGAGAGTAATCATCAATAAAAGAAACAAACCACTTTGCACCAGAAATATTAGACACAGAAACATGTCCTCATACATCAGAATGAACAGGTCAAATAGCTCAACACTTTTGTTATTATTACTCGGAAAGGTTGCACGATGATGTTTTGCAAATTGACAAATATCACAACTAAAAGACTCAATGGATTGTTTTAAAAATAAAGAGGGATACATAGACTTAAGAATACTAAATGGCAGATGACCTAGATGCTTGTGTTGAAGCCAAATTTGAGATGTAGAATTTGAACTCGTTTGAAGGCAAGATTGTGTCACCATGTGTCTTCCATTCTCCTTTATTCCCATGCTCTGTAGATAATATAACCCGCCTTATTCTTTAGCAGTTGCAATCGTCTTCCCTGTGGTAAGATCCTGAAAGACACAATGGGAAGAGAAAAAGGTTACTTTATACTTCAAATCTCGGGTGAGTTTTTGGATAGAAATTAGATTATTAGATAGTTGAGGAATATGTAACACATTATGAAGAGGTAAATAAGGATTGAGGGAAATGGTATCACTCCTGACAACTAGAGTATGGGACCCATTAGCAACAGTAATGTGTTAGTTGGTAAATAAGGTAGAGTAAGTGAAGAAACAGGAATGATGGGGTGTCATATTGTTAGTAGCACCAGAGTCAACTATCCAAAGATCCTTAGGCATAGTACCAGAAACATTAAAAGAAAAGATCCAAGAATTTTTACCAATCATTGCAAGAGAGCAAGTACTAGATTGCTTACTGAGAGACTCCATGAGGTTTTTCAGGCGCTCCACCTCAGCTTTTAATGCAGGTATCTCCTCTGCAGTAGGCTGAGTTGATTGATTTTTGTTTGCATCCTCCACATCATATAATGCTTGATGAGCATGTCTTTGTGCCTTTAAATCCACCTAAGCAATTGAGCAACTTCTCTTCTCATGAAGTTTGAAACATGTATCCTTGGTGTGGCCACTCTTTTTGCAATAAGAGCACCAACGGTCCTCCCTCTTGTTAGCTGTAAAATTTCCAATTTTGGGAATCTTGTTGGATGTCAAGGCAGAGCTTTCAGCAGGTCTCTCATTCATCATAACCATCCTCCTATTCTCCTCGCCTCGAACAATGAAGAATGTCTTGAAAAGTGATGGAAGCTTTTCCTTTCCAAGAATCTGAGCCCAAATCGGATCATATTCATGATTAAGTTTGGATAAAAACTTGAAAATCCGAGACCTCTAAGTAGACTGTGACAAGGTGGCAGCATCCTTGCTATTCTCCAATTTCAAATTTTGGTGTTGATTTAATTCCACCCACAAACCATTTAGGTGCTTATAGTAATCAATTACTAAGAGAGAATCTTGTTTAGTACTAGAGATTCTATCTTCCAACTCATAACAAGTGAAGATGTTCTATTTCATCGAGTATGTTTGAGGAAGACTATCCTATATATCGAGTTGTGGAAAAGAATACATAATTTCAGCTGATCTCCAGCACCATAGTACCCCACAATCATGTCATAATGAGAGAGTCCTCATCATCCCATGCCTCAAAGTGTGGGTCCTTTGCAGTAGGAGCATCCCCTTCAATATGGTTCAACCTTTTCCGACCCTTTAATGTCCTTCGAATAAATAATGCCCATACAATATAGTTCTGACTCTTGAGTCGATTAGCTGAAGGTAATGCTGGAAGATCATTTGAGGTCAAAGGTTCCAAATTAGCAGGTTTGGACAGTTGGGTGACCTCTGGAGTTTCTATTGCAGCCATCACGATAGAGCAAACTGCAAAAAACACAAAACACGAAATTCGTAGGGTGCAGCCTCAACAATGGCAGTTGCGGCCAAAAGAAAATAGAGAAAACCAGCAAGACAGGACATGCAAGATTTGGCGAGTCTTCTAGTGTCAACAGTGTTAAATTCCGATTCTGGTTATGAACAGTGTTTCCGACGATGAACAAGATCGGAAAAAATACACAGCAAAGGTGTGATGACCGCAATGAAGGCGGCTAAATAATTTTAGGGCGCAGAAGCAGAGCCCCAAGATTGGGAGCTCTGATACTAAGTTGAAATTTGGTACCCACAAATTATTAATGAATATTTCTCATTTAATTTACAGTGTACAATGGTTCCCGTTTATACAACTATGGTAATTAATTCTATGCTAAAATCATGGGTATCAATCATACCCAATTATGCTAATTACATAAATAAGGAAAGATAGAAAATAGAGAAAGAAATCAGAATATTTTATAACAATTCTTTGTAATCCAAATTCTTTCTAAGTGATCAATAAAATCAACATTTTTCTCCAATCTTTTCATTGTTTTCATCTTTGAACCCTAACATATGAACTGTGATATATTCCTTTCCTGTCTAGTCTTTGTCCAAATGAAAAATGAACCACCATTGGTTTTACTTGTGTCTTTTGACAAATGTAGATGGGGAGGATGACTTCGAATTAAAGATCGAATCCATTATAGAAGGTTGTAATGATACATGGGGAAGGAATCAGGAAAGGACGTGTGGACAACAAAGCTTACCTATAAAGAGGAAAAAATTGTCAGAGGCTGTCTTCATCACACAAAGTCCATGTCAGGCAAGCCATATTCTTCTATTTTTACTAATTTTTACGTATGAATTTTAAATGACTATGCTAAACTTGAAAATATGTTTTGTTGGGTTATTTATCCTATTTAATAGGTCTATGATTTGTGTTGGTAATCGTGGTGCATTAGTGCAACCACCAAGTAATTTCAAGTATGAGTACCAAAGGAGAAAACATTTTGCCACTTATCTGAGGCTTTATAATCTATTTAGTAGTGTACACAGGTTCAATGGTTGTTGCTAAATTCTTGGAAGCATGAGTACAAAACCATGTAGCCCTCACGTGGTGGGATAAAGACTTGGTTGTAGTATCGGTGCCAAACCAGAATAGAGTCAAAAAATATTTCTATTGGGTCTGTGAATTCTACTTGATATGAACATTGGCTCTCAGATAGCATTATTTATATGCAACTTTCATGTTTACAAATGTACATATTTTTACTGTATACCAAAAGCTTATTATTGGTTGAGAGGTTATTACTCCATGCAAGTCTCCTAACATATACCCAAATATGGGTAAAGCTTCTTCCATAATGTGCAACATGGGACGTTAATTATTTTCATTTTGTGCTGTATACATCTTGGGGAAGCACCTCAGTTTGACATATTACTTCCCACCTCTGTTCTGTGATCATTTCTCTTTTTTTGTATGACATGTTCAATAATATGTATTCTTGGAGTGATCTATTGCCTTATGAAACATTTAAGAACATGGCATAGCAGAATAAGGAACCATCCTCTTTAGCTTCATTGCAAACTAGTATTAGAACCCTGTTAATCTTGCAGGAGCTAGATGGTGTATGTCATGAAAACAACTGGGTCACACCAACTTATCATATTTCTCAATCAGATGGTAAGTATGGCTATCTAATCCAGAGGTAAAATTCTTGAGCAACATAAATTGTCCTCATTAATCAATACATGTACTATTAATTTAAATTTAATGAGACACAATAAAGATTTAATCATTACATTTTTGTTCACCTTATTAATGACTAGTACTATATATGTGTCTATGTTGAGGAAATATTATGCAGCCTGATTTGACAAATCAAATTTAACGAGTATTTCTTTTGAAGGTGGATATCAAGCTAATGTAACTGTTAAAGGAGTGGAGTTTCAATGCTCATTTGAGGGTAACGGGCATTCCAATCCTCGTGAAGCAAGAGAATCGGCTGCAGCTCAGATGTTGACTAACTTAAGAAGAATGGCAAAATTGGCCCACTAATGTTGGAAACTTAGAAATGGCTTGCTTCCCTTGTGATTATGAAGAAAACTGCAATGTTCATATGGTTGCAATTTCTGTAAGGACGCATGATGTTCATGTGATGCTGGAATTTGCCGGCACCAGCGCATGCAAAAGCTCGCATTAGGTAGATGGGATAAAGTAGATAGGATTACTGTCAATTATTCCTAGCATGTCTTTTTGTTTGTCATTATTCATTATCATTCCTTTAAAAAAATAGGTAAAATTACAAATTTCATCACTTTCGCTTATTTAAAATTTCAGTTTAGTCTATTGTTACTGTTTTCAGTCCTGCTCTTGGTCTTGTTTTAGGCTTGCTCTTGGTTTCTTGGCCTTGGTCTTGTTCTTGGGCTTGGTATTGCCCTCGTTCTTGATTGGCCTTGGGCTTGCTATTGGTCCTTTCTCTTGGTCTTGGTGAGAGAAGTGATATTGATGGCATGAACTCCATGCCCATGGCTGCTATTGAAAGCTGTAGGAAAATGATTGTATCTTCACCTTCCTCTACTCCTACATCCCCTTTTCTTTTCTCACTTTTCTTGGTTTCTATAAAGCGGATGGGAGCATGGTTAATTGTGACTGTGGGTTTTGTTTTGGTAGCGGTGAAGCAATGGTCATGGCAGGATATATGGTGGTTTTATGCTGATAGCATCCAAGATGAAAGAATAAATGAAAATGTTGAATCCAAATGAATGAATGCTTTAAAATTTTAAATGAATTGAACATAAAATTAACGTCATTTAGCTACACTGTCTACTGTCAGCCACTTGGCCAGTCGGCTTCTTGTTTCTTTGGATCATTAAACATTGCTTCAGGGAATATAATCCTTTTTTGTTTTTGTAATACAAGACCCAAGTATAGTGTCTGCCAAGAAGAAATAAATAATCTTGTAATGTCATTGCTCAATTCAAATTTCGTTTTCTTTAACACAATGAACGCGAATAAAGTTGCTATGGGATATCAAAAATAGTTTTAATATAAGGTTAACTGTCATATAAATGTTAATTTCATAATAAAAGTTTTAAAACATTATTGACAAAAAGATGTTCATAGATACCATATGCGAGAAAAAAAAAATGAATGCTTGAATATATTTAAGATTATTAAAGGTTTTAAGAGGGCCGCTATTTGACAAAATTTATGGATATGTGGTTCAATAATAATTGACAATAAAAGGAGAATGGGGACTTGGACGAAAATCACGGGATAAATGTTTTCTTCAAGAGTTTTCGTGGGTTTGAAATTCGCACTCTTGGACGATTTTGTAAGTTTTCTCTATTACATCACGAAAGACACTGCATTATCACTAACATGTTATGACTTCAATTAGAAATCCCAAAATTAATTTCCACAAAATCACAAGATATTATAGAAATTATGATATGAAACTCTTGAAAAATCTAAAACATTCCTCAACGGTATCCACCATGGGGGATAAAATGTTATATAAACAACTTAATTTACACGATTAAATCTTCAAAATTATTAACTGACCCAATGTTTAAGAAAATATGTGATGCCAGCGAACATAAAATAATTTATATAGTGGGACATGCTATTGGTTAAAAGATTCTATCCCTCTGCATGACATTTTCAAGCTTTCTACCTTTAGGCATAAGCATTCTGGCATAGACATCTAATCCTAGTATCCTGTAATTACAATAATAAAGACAGAATAAATGGTTACACACTATACATCGCTTTGCACCATTCTGGCTATCAGGGAAAGGGAGTGGAAAGGAACTCTTGTACTCAATCAAATGACATTGAAATTAAAAAAAAAATCCCGACTTTACAGTAAAAATCTATCCTTTTTCTAAATCATTTAGGGAGAAGGGAAAACCCAGTAGTTAGAAATTTGCATCATCCTCTACAAAATTCAACAAAAAGTTCAAAACCAAATTCTTAAGATCCTCATTCACCCCTTTATCTTTGGTTTCAAACACACCCTTCATAATTCTCGAATACAGCCTTTCAAGTTGTGGAATGCTGTAATTTTCACTACGCTTAACAAAAAGCTGCTTGACAGACTCCACTTGACTTGAAAATTCAGCATCAAGCATTGTGACATCATCAGGACTGTCGCCATCAGCAAGGCTATTAGTACAAATTCCATGCGAATTGCCTTCAATCAACACAGGTTCCAGCCCTTCAGAATTTGTGTCAGTCGCCTGATGCTCCTGGGAAGGCTTTGATGGTACAGAATCTTGTTGTGACTTGTCTTCTACTATAAAACCCAATTTTGAATAAACTATAAAATCAGTATTTGAACAGGAAATTTGCAGGTAAAAAGGAAAAAAAGTTAACCAGTTAATCATTACAAATCAAGCAACACCAATATCATTTTTTTTTAAAGATAGTTAAACCGAGCGAGTGCATGAGAAGCAAGGACATGAAGTAGTACAGAGAATCACATGAAGTAGTATGAGTTACAACCAAAATAGCAGTTCAGGATAAAATATTCACAATTCCATGCTCAGTTATTGCTTGATAACTCAAATATTCACACTTCCATGAATCATAATAGCCAAAAAGCAACTAAAATATGTATGATTGACATTAAAAGAAACCATTTGCACTGCAGCCGTTTTACATTGAGAAAGAATTCATATCGCAGACATTCAAAGCATACCTGCATGCACATCAGCCATCTTCTTAGTTCGCCTCAATGCTTCATAACTTTGATCCATATTAACCTCTGGTTGGACATGACGAAGTCGAGCACTCATTCTAGTAGCAGTACCCATCTGCACAACAGGAGTAGCAGGGAATGTAGAATCCCCTAATTCATCAGACAACTGTACTGGGCCACCTTGGCCAGCAATCTTGTCGCAGTATGCAACCAGTGCAGGATCCATCTGTGAGAGCATTCCATGAACCTGAAAAAAAGTAACAAAAAATGAGTAAGATGAGCATTTGCCATACAACAGTCAACATAAAAAACTCCCAACATAAATTTTAAGACAAAAGAAAGTCCATGCACCGCATCACTGAGCTCACAAGCTCTACTGACAATCCTAGCACCATTGTAATCTTCTCCATTGTAAGCCTGAATTGCAGAAAGAAGGATCAAACTTGGGACATACTTTGAATAATAGCAGTATTGTATGAAGCATTTTCAATCAATTTAGTTAAGCATTATTTTAATTGCATTAGGTTAGAGAATAATCATGCATACACACATGCACACACACACATGCATATAACCCAATTCCCAAAAAAGAAAAACTTAAGGCACAAGACACATGCCTTTGCATTGGAAACAATAAGATTAATGTCTTGCATGAATGCAGCACATGTAATATAGTGGCCATTATCGACATGCTGCAGGATGGTAGCCATGTCCATTGGGTTCTGTATAATTGAGCGATAATTTGGTGCATCTTCATCTGATACTGGATAATGGAAAGCATTAAACCGTTTGTCATACAATATCCTGCAAATGGGGCACAAAATATATTGAGGTATCACATATAGTTAATTAAAGGTGTCAGTGTGCCAAATGAACCCAACAATTGTACGTTAAGCATAGATTGACATACCGGTTGCAAATATCCCTAAGGCACATTCGCAATCTACGAAGTGCATGTTGCTCAGCTTCCACCTTTGCTTTTAGCTCAGATACTTTTGGACCACTGGCCAATTTTGGTGCCTTGGGAAGTTCAGGGATGCATCCTGTATCCTGGGATTTCTTGTTGATTCCCTCCAATACTACTGACATAGCAGCATCTATCAAACGATTGACAAAGAAAGTCCTATCTTTGGCAGATGGCATATTCACTTGATAACTGTTCAAATGGAAATAGCAGGTAAACACATAACGAGAAACAAACCCAGGTACAAAGAATACTTTTCAGAATCAAAGAGGAATATAATCTTAACATTTGAACAAATGAACAAACCCATAGATATTCATATACTTGTGGGAATAACCAACTACAGAAACTTTGGTCAAGAAATAGGGCACCACCGAATATTGATAGGAAGCATTAAAGTTGGCAATGAAAATATCTTTACCCCTCTTAATCATCCAAAATACATTCGATTAATAGTAATGATGTATGAGAAGTAATATGATGGATACCTCTGGTCTATTTTTCCATTCTAATTTTAAGATAAAATACAAAGAGGAACTTTGACAAAGAAAATTTTCAGAAAACACTAGCTGTACATCAGCAAACTTAGAATTCTTTTTTCTTATACAAAATGCAGGTCTTCCAGTTCAAGTACATTATTAATTTCTGCCATACAAAGCCAATCATTTATTTAGAAAGAAATAACTGCATACATCCAGATTACTGGTATAAAGGAAAAAGAAATTTTCTTTGCCTTGGAACTAAAATCATAGATTTGCAGTAAATTATATCAAGCATACACTGAACGGTGTGGGAAAACAGATGGAGGCACTTCCTCGACTTCCGCAAGCGCAACTGAAGATGTACCAAGTAGTAAGATAGGCAAGTCAGATGGTAATTCTTCTAACAAAGTCAGGAGAACAGCCCTGAGTTGTTCATGGGCCTGCAAGATAATTAAACCAACTCAAACTCAGGTCACATTAAAGCAGCAATTCAAAATTAGGGAACCTGTCAGAATGATAAACTAATTTTGGACGTGCAGATAGTTCAAATAGCATACATATTTACAGATAACCAAGATATGTTACTCACAGTCTCCCACCAAACATCAAATTGTGGTAAATAGAGAATTGATGGTGTTGTTCTTCTAGCTTCACCAAATATATGTACCAACGCCTCTTCTGGTGTCTTTGCACTAGGATCTGACAGAAGAGATGGAAGTCCTAATGAATGTACAGGAAATTTTTCCAGCTCATGTAAAACCGCAGGGCCAAGATGATCCTGTTAAACTAGAGCAGTAAGTATATTCAGTCTTCAGTTGCTATAATGAAAAGGTTTCAATAATATTAGAAGGTTCCAAGATAATTACCAGCCCTGTACCTTCACCACCACAAAGTAGAAGCCTTGGCCGATATACAAGTGGAATTGCAGAACCATAGGAAAGCATCGAAAGTTTGGTCAATTCTGATGCAATGGAAACTGGAGGGAAAATGTCAGATATAATACTCATCGCTTTTTCTAGATGTCTCTGGAGACAAGGTTGAACTACTAGAGACAATGGTCTAGAGTGTACAATAGCTCCCCTATGAGCAGCAGGAGTAATCGTAGACATAGCTTCAATAAAATGATACTTTTCTACCTTGACAGAATCGACATCTATGAGAAATTTGTCATCACTTGTATAAACCTGTGGATAT